ACATGTGTTCGGAGAAGGGATAAGATGAAGACTTGTCAGCCGAAGACATCCCTTAAGAGATGCTTATTCACACTTCTTGTTCTCCAATTTGATGGAAGACCAACTGCCCAATAAGGCCCCATTTCTTCCCGCGTCCTGCGCCCAGGACTGCTACCCCATTTGCTTCCTCCGTGCGCTGGAGGCCTGCGGCGTGACGCCCAAAGGCACCGCGGGCGCTTGGGTGGAAGAGATGTTCTGGAAGACGGAGCCACGTGGGCTGCATCGGGAAGGCCCCGCCCGGGCCTGGGCTGGAGAACCTCCATGGCTTTCCACGCCCAAGATACCACAGGTACTTGTATGGGCAGACAGTGATTGGAGCCGGACGAATCATTGCGAATCGAGGCGAATCTGCCCAGCATGGGGTTATTGTAAGGTTGGTGTGAGATGTATTTACTCGCAGTCGCAAGACTCTTGATATGTGATTGTGTAACTATGCATGTGCATTGTTATTTTTTTCGATCAAACTTCGCTGGTTGGATCAAACTTGAAGAAAGACATCATAGCGGAGAAACTGGAAGAAACACTCGGGTCCTTTGCACGCCCAAAAGCTTCCTTCACGACTTGAATGACGTCCCAAGGGGGGAGATCAACTCCAACAACCATACCTGATTGACCTCAATTTTGATTGACCTCTAGCGTTGCAGGTGGAGGGTGTTCTTTGGCGCAAAAAAATGGTCGAAAATTGGTGGTCGCATCTAGGTCCACAATTTTTTGGAGTATAAAATGAACACGGATAGGAAGAGAGAACCTGCAAATCTTCAAACACCTATTCACATGGTGGATGAAACCTTAGTGCCCAGACTAACGTGGTTTGTGAACGTTTCCTGAGGTCGGGCTACGATGCGGGTGACTTCCCCATCAACACCCATGGCGGCTTGCTCGCCTTTGGTGCCCCCCTGGGAGGCGAGCGCAGGGCGTTCAAACGCGAACGGCCGTGCGGGACGGAAGTGATTGAGGAGCGGTTTGGTGGCGGACGCAAAAGGATGAGACAAGCGCGAAGGAAGACGACTCAGTAGTGACCAAGCGACTCGGATGATTCCGAAGTTTTTGGCACCTTTGGAGTTGTTTGTGTGCAGGTCAGACCGTTTGACTGAACTCACCCGCGTGGGTTGCCGTCCAGAAGAGTTTTCGCAGAGATTGATGAAGAGCGTCACCACCTTACAGACTTGGTAGAAGATCAGCTGTACCCGCAGGGTCAATGTACCTTAGTCCCTTCCCCCTTCTAGGTTTTGTTTTCGGATGCTTTTGGATGTTTATTCAACCAGATATTCTGCCTAACCATCGCTTTGGCACCGGGCCGAACGACTGCCACGTGGTCGGTCCGGACGTCCGTCCGACGGAGGTGCCGGCCATGTACAACATCATTGAAGCCTGTCACTTGGAGGGTGCAGTAAAAATGAGAATAAGGGTTCTCCAGAAAAATCCAGAAAAGATAGGAAAGGGTCCCCTGAGCTGGAGAAGAAAAGAGTGACTCTTCCAACACCTGATAGAGAAAGGATTCTTGGAGAAAGCTGTGTAGCTGAAGTTCTGATGCCAAGAATTTGATCAGATGGTCGCTAAATGTACGCAGTTTGGTGGGTTATGTTCTGATAACGACTTGTACTAGCCCATGGAGTTTGACGTCTTGTTGTTGCAACTCAGTAACAACTTACTCCGGTGTTGCAGTCCACCATGAGGCTCAGGGGGTCACTCGGTTGTTTTGACTATTTTCACTGAGAAGTGATTGTTTTGGTAGTGTAGTTTGTTACAACATATGTAAAATGTGGTCTACAAAGCAGCCAGTGAGCCAAGCAGCCGGTGAGAGTTGGGGCACTGGTGCAATTTGCCCGGGCAGAAGAGAGGAAGATCGAACGAAAGGTATGGTCCTGGTCCGGGGCAAGGCCGGGCAAGGCAACTGAAACACCCATTTCACTGCCGCCAAAACTACTCATGGAGGCACCCGCCGCGGAGAGATGAACACGCCAGTCATGCTGGAATCCCAAATGAGTTCACATGCTGGTCTTGGTGAATCTCATGTGCTGGAGCCGGCAACCCTGCTTAGGATGACCGGGGACACTCGCGGGCCATGGTGGAAAGCTCTGTGCCCAAAGACCCTGCTTTGGGCCTTGGGAGCGGTTTAGATTCAAAGACCCGATTCGACTCTGGGGTATTTGATAGGCTCCAAGCGTGTGGATCGTGGCTTTTTCGAGACCAGGATCCAAACCGAACCAGGTCTAGGTACATATCAAAACTACTCTGTTGCCTATGCAAAAGGGCGCTTGTTGGAAGGAAGATACATAGTTAGGGTTGTCCTCCAAACCACCCTTTCCGTGGTGCTGGTGGTGATTCACTGAAGGTGGAGGCGTATGCTGCGTTCGCTGAGGCGAGCAGCTCAGGGGCACTGCCACGGGCCGTCAAGTGCCGTCGGTGCGCCGAGCGCTGGTGCAACTGGGCGAAGAAGCAGACCGACGGGTGATTGGTGGCAGACCTGGTGTAATCGCTTAGTGCGCTTGCCGAACGTCATATTTATATTTTCGGTCACCCAGGGTGGGTGATGGAACACATTATCTGGCAAAGAACTCATTGCAACACAGGATCAACTACATCTTTCAGTCATCGGCAGATGGCTCAAAACATCACCACCCCCGACACCTGGATTGTTATGGCTTCTCTTCCTGTTAGATTTGGGACCGGCTCCAAAAAGGCATCTTTTTTGGGGGGGAAAGCACGCGCCACACTCAAAACCCCCAACGCCGAGGGTCCAGGTGGAATGAAAAAAAACACTGAACCCCATGGAGGTATGGCAACGGGGGGATCTTCTCGCACAGCGCGGTGGCGATCCTGGCGCAGCCGGTGGACTGACTGATGCTGCCCCCCGTCAGTGAGACCCAAGGCCACTGGGAAGGATGGATGTGTGAAGTACTGTGTGCCGTAGGGGGGGTCGATGTTTTTCTTTTAGATCTTGGGTGGCGTTGGGTGTGTGAGAGCTTCCGTGGTTCAGTTCAGATAGATGGCCGAATGGAGTCTCTGAGAGATACCCGACAGTGAGCCAAGCAATTGAGGTGAGCTGCACCTCCCAGCAGACAGTGTGGTACTTGTCGAATCTTACTGTAAGGGACGAGCCTGCTTGCGGTATGGCAATCACAATGGCTTCCCTCGCCACATGTTGAAGGAGATACAGATATTTCTAGTTAGAACACAGGGATTATTTCAACTATAGGCTTTTGACAGTATCTCACACTTGCTACCGGTGGATTTCTTCGGGATCTTCGGCCCCCAACGGCCTGGTTCGCCTCGGACGGGACACCGCCGACCGGGTCCGTTTCGGGTCGCCACCGGCCGGATGCCAACGGCACAGAGTGTGAAGGCGAAGGCGAAGGCGGCGAGGTGGCAGCAGGAGCCGATCGCGAGCGACGCCATGGCGCTGAAGCGACAGGTGTTCACCCCCGCCAAGTAAGGGTCACCCTTTCTCACCCCTCGAAAGTAGAGTTCGTGGCAGGGTGCGATATTTTTATCGATGTTGAAAGTTGAAAGTGTAGATTTCGTTGCAGGCATAGCAATTTGTGGGGCTTGAAGCGCAAACTTCGTGGTCGGCGCAGAGCTTTCTGGATCTGCAAATGTAGATTTCAAGACAGTTGAGTTGATCCTTGGTTTGGGGTCTTAATCTCTGAGAAGACACTCACACACAAAAGGTTATATAACTATATATATACTACAGTACTCTTCTGAGTCATCTGATGTCAATCAACGTATCTTTGTCCGGCCACGTCGCCCGAGGAGCGCCAGAGGGCGGCCTCTCATGGAGAAGTGACGGCGTGGAAGGAGTGGTCTTGACATGTCAAAATCAAGAGCATTTGCTTAAAGGTTACTGTACAGTATGAAGTATGTTATACATTTTATACACCTGTCTTGGGATTGTGATGGATTCTGGTTTTTATTGGCCCTTTTCAGGTGGTCCAAGACGCAAAGATATTCCTGCTACACTCACCACCAGTCGGACTGTCGTTCAGGCTAGCCAATCCACACTGTTCCCAAGTCTGCAGGATTTGCCTGGACACCATCAAAACAACAAACTGCTCCTTCTTTGTGGCAACCTTCATTCCTGTCCAGAATCACCTATGAGGGGATGCTCGCCTATCAACAGTGTTGCACTTGGTTCTCACCGGACGGAACCGGTCAAGCAAACGGAGAGTTCGGGATTCTACCGGGTGCATGTCGGCCATAGGCAGAAGATGGCAGAAGGGGTGAATGATATGTTGGTTTTCTTCGATTCACTCCATCCAAATTGGACTCTCACTCCAATTCAGTCCATTTGGATGTTCTCTATCTCCAACACTCTCGTCCACCTTGCGACGCTTCACCGAAGACGCTCAGTGCCAAAGATGTGCTGAGACGTCGAGAGACTGAGACGTCGCAGCATCGATTCGGAAGAGTGTTGAGTCTCTGAGGAGTGTGGAGTGTGGGGGGCGTGGGTCGAAAGGATTGCAGGAACAGAATTGGGGGAAGGATTCAGGAAGTGGTGCCCCAGAAAAATTCATGGCCAGAATGCTTGCGGTGCATTGCGGATTGATTCTATTATGGTTTGATCTGGCAAACCATGACGAGCGCCCACACAAACCATGACGAGGCCATGGACCGTTTCTTTTGGCCAGGTTCTTTGGTGAATGGCTCGGCAGGTCCTGAACTTGGCCAGGCAAGTGAACATTTATATAATTCAGAATGAAGGTCTGTAGATATGACCTTGGAGCCTTTGAACATATTCAAAAGAGGGGGCGATGTCCGATGACCCCCAGCGACCAAAACGGGAATCGGTGCATCGGGAGTTGACCCATCAGCTAGAGCCTCAAGATAGCAAAGGTTGAAAATTTGGACCCCCACAAAACTTGGATCACTTTCCAAATCATATGGTTGGTGTTTAAATGTTTTTAATCCCTTTGCAGTCGAATCTTTTGGTTCCCTTCCCTCAAGCAAGCATTTCTGAGGCTGTGAAGCCTGATGAGCTGCAGCCAGTGCTGGACACCGTTGCCGGGGTCCCGGAGAAGCTACAAGTGGGAGGGGTCCATTCGGAAGCATGCGAGCAAAGATCCATATTAGCCTTCTTAGATGTTCTCTTCTTACAACCTTCTAAGAACCACTCTTATATATATAATATTAATGTACATATACATATATTATGGTATAAGCTACTCTATGTTCACCCACAATAATAATAATTTGAGACCACACCAGCCCAATATAGTAACAAACATAGCAACCAAGAAAAGAAGCATTGTTCTTGGTTCTAAGAACTGGGTCAAGGCTTAGGCTTAGTAGCAGGCTGCATGCGGGCTGTATGCCAAGCCAACAGACCATTTGGACCCATTTGGACGAAGTCGTTTTAAGAAGATGTGAAACATGATTGGCATACAACCAAGATCTTTATTATTTGAACCCATGTGGGTCCCATGTGGGTCCCATGTTCACAACCCATATGTTCATGAAACATGTGCGTCGAGAAACATGTGAGACATTTTCATGCGAAAACCTCATTTTGAGTCACTCAGGCAGGAGCAATTCATGACCAATCCGTGGACCAATTTATCCGTGGACCTGTTGGTTTACGGCTTATCTGTCTTTAGAGATCCCTGTCTAACATCACAGGAGTTTTGTCCATCCATTTTCGAATCTCTTTTTTCCAGTGATAGGCAAAAATGGCAAAACCAGGGAATGGAGAATTTGGTCAAGGAAGAAACCGTAAAGAACAACCTCAAAGGAATAGTCTAATTGATCGTCTAAAAGTACACAAATATTTCACGAGTCTCCAGTATTCCACTGGAATGCTCCTGGAAGATGTGAGACCGTGAGACCTGACAAATAAGCCTTTCAGGTTCCATGTGCTGCAGTCTTTGCAATTGGTCTAAAGTAGCCACTATGCCACTGCTTTCGTGGTGATCAGAGCGCACGGCTGCTGCGACTTCCCCGTTTCAGTCAGTCACAATCGCTCCAGGCTTCCTCCGCGCTCACACGCATTCCAGCATTCCGGGCAGGTGCAGCCTTCCATTGGCCTCCTGGGGTCGGAGGAAACATCGACAGGGTGGACTCCTGGGTGGACCCATCCAACCCAATCCCACGAGCAACACCTGAAGAGAAAGCGATGAACCCATCAAGACAATACGAACAAACCCCTGAAACCACGATTCGTGACCTTGCACACGGATGGGCGGAGTGACGGCATTGCTGCGCAGCTAACATAATCCTCCAAACCGTCGTCGGACACTGAGGACGAACAGCTGTGAAGTCACTTTTTTCGTCCTTTGTCTTCAAGCTTCTTTAAGTATCCTTTTGATTTACAGGCTAAACGTTGACCTCCCTGTGGAGTGGCCGTTGTTCTTTTCCTAAGTTCCTTCCAAGCAGCCACCGCAGCCACCCTGGATCACCACCCCAGCGCAACCATGTGCTCGAGCAACCCTGCAATCCGCGGCTCGGGGTGGGAGTCTCCCGGCTCCGTGATTTTGCGCGGCTCACACATGTGGTAAGCCTCAGGACGCATAAAGCCAGTGAGGAAAGAATGAGGTCCTGATAAACCAAAAGCCCAACACCTACAAGAACACAGGACCATCCCACACCGCCTTCACGTCTCCAAAATGGGCGCCGAGCCTTTCCATCCACCCGTGTGACTTCCTCGTGTCGTGCGTAACGCCGCGGATCTCCATCCTCGCCAGGCTGTGAGGCACTTCGGACGGCCGCCGCGCAGCGGCCGGACGCGCCGTCGCTGGCGGCTCGGTGCAGACGGTGACCGGAGACGCCGTTCGACATCTCAAGGACCCCAGTGGTGTTTACACAGTTTGACGGGGTGACAAGGGAACAAAGATGGGGAACTCACAGTGTAAAATAGGGAACTAGGACTTAGAAACAACAGAATTTCCATGAATTTCCTATGTCGGCGGGATCAACCTGACCATGGTTCACTTTAGAGTCGGAGGATATTCCGCACAAAAAAAGAGGATGTACCACGTATCTGTATCCATCTGGTGCTCCTGATTTATACACGTAGTTCAGCCCTAACAAAATCAGACAAACTTGAGAGGGTCCATGGCCTACAAGTTCATCACATAGATTTGGGGAAGGTATTAAATAGCCAGGAGCACCATCCGCACTTTGCTGAGTTTGCAGTGCCTCCTTTCAAGGCCTCGGTCTTGATGCTGCTCCAAAAGGCACATGGCTTCTTGGTGTGAGGGGGGGGAAGATGGGCCATGTCCCAATGTGACATGGGGATGGGTCCAAACCCGTTGTTTCACGACTCCAAGCTGTCAATGATGACTGATTGAATTCAGACCTGATCCAACCAACAGCCTGAACATGCCCGGACCCTCGTCCGAACATGTACTTCGTTCCTGCAGTTTTGGCATGTTTTGGCACCTATGACCTCCACTCATGTAAAGTTTGATTCACCTCGTGCAGTCAACCTAAGCATGTTGAGAGATGGCAAGTGATCAATTTGAACATTTGTCAATCTAAAGTGAGGCTGGCATGTCCTGCAGCTTTTTTCCAGGTGTGTGACAGCAGCTAGCAGCTAGTAAGTACATTGATTTGGCAGTTTCATGCGCCTTTCTCAGTTTTCTTCATTGATTTGGCGCACTCTCAGGGTCCCCTGTTTCTTGGCTCAACATTTCTGCTCCTCGAAACGCACCCGACCAGGCCACCGCGCCTTCCGAGCCGCAGCCTGAGGAGGAGGCGGCGGCGGCGTTTTTGTGTCGCTGAGGATGGGGGTTTTGGGATGTCTAATGGGGGAGATTTGGATGTTTGGACGCCAACATCATGACCGTATCTTGCAGGAGCTGTAGTTTAGAGTTTGACGATGCTTGATGTGTGTTGGGTGTTTTTAAAGGGGGTGTTCTGCCATATGTCGAAACTAACACCACCAGTGCGGTCATGTCACGATGTCAGGATGTACCGTACAAACTTGGGGGCCCGGTCGTTTGGACTCCACTTCGATGATCTCCGGCCACCCTCTTCTATGCAATGGATGGCTTAGGAACTGCATGTGATGTTGTAGGTCATGTAGTTTTCTTTCTTATTGACGTCGCGGAGGACGTAAGTTGTACTGTACTGGTTTTACAACATGTACTTGTGCTGTTGGTGCTAGACTCTGACTTCTGTTTGACTCAACTAATAATAGTCTTTCTGGGCTCAGACATGCCTGGTTCTGAAGCTGCTGGCTCTGGATATTGGTTTATACAATCATCTTCGATCAAGATGGGCTGGGTAGTACGGACGATCAGTTGTGCCACAATCACCTGCCTTTTTTGTCACAGCGGACAAGCTGCAAAGGTTGTTTAAACAATTTCAGTGCTTCGAAGTCTGTGAGTATAGGAACCATGTCAATGTGCGAGCAGGAAATGCTGGCGCTGCATATCGTTCTTCATATTCCTGTCTCCATTTCAGGCGTCAGTTTCAACTGCAAAACACTTGCAGGGAGTCCATTGTTCGCCCTGGCCAGTGAAGATGTTCGCTATTTCTCTCACCTGCTCATTTCATTCATCCCGGCTAGCTGGTGGATTCCTCACCCCATCGAAGCACTGGGCACCTCTCGACAGCAATGACCATGGCGGGATCTCGGGGTATGCAACCCCCCCCCCTCCCTCAGTGTTGAATCTTCCACACTTGAATTTGGCGGGATTGGGTCCAATTGAAATTCTAGATTACACACATTGTCATAATATACATGGAAGGTCAAACAAAGCTTAGATAAGTTTAGTTTACCCACCTCTTCCCAAGTAACTGAGACAGGGGCACTCTACAGATTCATCCAGTGATGGAAGTCTCAATAACTGACCCGTTGAAGAAACATGGCCTCCATCCGTTGAGGGTAAGGCTTGAGTTTTCAGCCACCACTGGCTGACTGCCATGTCCAGGCTGAAGAGGTCGAGACCAAGATGGGAGCTGCATCAGGCGAACACCTGGGGGGGACTCACGTCGCCGGGGTCGGGTCCAAGGACTTCAGAACACCGCCGGAGTCGAGGTCCACGCTCGGAACCCGCGTCGGAACCCACGCCAAGGGCGGTAGAGGATGAGGAAAGTCGTCAGACCCGGGCGTGCAAATCCATGCCGGTCGCCCGGTTCCATGTGGGTCTCGGAACCCGGGTGTATCTTCTCCAATGCCACCATCTTCCCCCTGAGACTCACATGGAGAGAGGTTTCGACATGGAGAGACGTGTTTTCTGTTGCCGCGTTTGGTTAAAGACAGGGGGGTCAAACAGATTTGGGGTTGGGTTTTGGGTTTGTGCGTTTTCAGTGAATCTTATGGCTGCGAATTCTGAGGTAGAAATCTATGACCTTTATCTGAATTCGCCTGTGCTGAGGTGGGAAAAGAAAGCAAGCTTCGAAGCTTGCTGATGCTTTTTGTCGGGGTCTCCGCATCTTGAATCCCCATCGCTCTTCATACGCGGCCCCTCCTTCTAGTGAAACAACTAGCATCCTGCGTGAAATCACCCAAGCTGAATGCTCAGTGAGCTTGCTCCCCTGCCTGCGTGTTTCACTCCGCCACGGCTCAGCTTAGCCACTGCTTACGGACTCCGCGCGCGCGGTCCTCCGCCTCCAGCGAGGCGGCTTTGACGAGGAACGACCGTTGAGCCCATTGGAGCTGGCGGAGCGCCTGGAGCTGAGGGGCCGAGGGGCCGAAGGGCCGAAGGGCCGAACGAGGGTGGTTGGAGAGGCTTTGGTGGAGATGGTGGACCTGGAAGAGTTCGTTTGGGGTGTTCTTGGGGTATGTGGGGGGTTTTGGAGCAGTGAAGGGGGAGCAGGGAATCTCAGAGTTGAGGATGGGTCCAGGATTGCCTCAGATGTGGCCTGGCAGACTGAGGCGGAACGGGATATGCCAAGAGCCTTTTGGATGTGAAGTATGTCGAACCTGGGGTTGAGAACCTATGCCATGAGTTGTAACGTTCGACATACACCTTTTGAACATTGAATTCTCAAAGGCAAGTGGCCATTACAGGCACTGAGTTTTGCTCCGGGTGTCCATTTGTCCCGAATCGTATGAATTCCTCCCGTCTCTCATCATAGATTCTCTTAATAGCTATTATATAGTGTCTCCCTCTCTCTCTCTCTATCTATCTATCTCTATATATATATATTATATATACATTATATATATATATATAATATGTCTATAAGCCCACTCTCTGGGTCCCGCGGCAGTCGCAGCTCCCCCACAGACCGACTCCGCCGCCCCAAAAGGCCTTGGACGGCTGGGGAAGGCCAAGAAGGCCAATCCCACGGAGGCGCCGGCCACCCAAACATGGGACAAACCCGATCCTGGATCAGCATCACCGGTCTTGTATCGGGTTTTCCCAGGGGCAACGAACCAGTGGTGATCCATTGTTACAATGGTACAATGGTGGTGTGGTAGATGGAGCAGTGGTAGATAGATCACCACGGACTCTGGACTCCCAAAAATTCCCCCAACGGATTCGGAGCGCTCCCAGATCGGTAGAAAAAGGACCTCCCCAAGACCGGAAGAAGGAACATAGACCAACGCCCATTGGTTGGGGTCTCCCTATTGACCTACTCACCACATCCTTGTAGATCTCTTGATTGCTTGGCTCCGTTGCAGTCCGGAACGCCGGACTCACTGACCGGCCGGACAGGACCCGCGGACAGGAGCATCGACGACCATTTGCTTCGACTCCTTAGCTGGATGAGCAAGAAGACCATTTATTTGCATTGGTCAAAGGAAGTGAATGGAACCACGAACGACATTGTTGGTCAAGGACGTGGTGACGTAAATGCCCACATGGGCCTGTATGCACGGGCCTGCATGGGTCTCCTGGGTCAAAGAGAATGCCCACGTTTGACACCTCACCGGCCGTGTCCGGACCCAGCTGGTCCGGTGTTTGTCGCGCGCGGAGAAGCTTGGCGCCTTCAAAGCCCCCGCTATAGTTCGACTGCAAGCAGGTCTCGTAGAAGAGCAAGTGGGAACGGCAGCAACGGTCTCGTGGAGATTAGGAGGCGAAGCCCACAATCCTACACCAAGTTGAGCAGCTTTAGTTGCTCCCCTCCCAGAGGATGACACAGCGTCCTCATCCGCACACTTGGCTGGTTGAAGCCTGTGGTTGAAGCCCACCCTATATTTTGGGCTGACCTTTGGCAAGGGAGAGATCACTACGTCACTGCTGCGACACAAGGCTTGAAGTGGTTCTTTCCATTTATGGCGACACACAGCTGTGCTTCAGGAGCTGAAGTGGCAACATATTTTTTTCGGCGGCGACATGCGCCTGCTGCAGAAGGCAGTGACTCAGGATGCTGGCTGTGTTGTGAGGAATCAGGAAGGTGCAGAGGATGGCCAGGTCTTTCCCTTCTTGGGATGGACAAAGACTTGCAGGCACAAGTAGTTTGAGTGGCAGCCAGCTTGGGTTCGTAGTAGCAAGCATTGATCTCGACGTCTGGCTTCGATAAACCAGAGTCAGAGTCCACCACAGCTGCTTGGAATGGGACAGACCCAAGCTGCTCTATGAAGAGATATGAAGAGCTAACACCCAAGAAGAACAACGGACGGAGGCCCTGCAATCCAACTATAGGTAAATTTAGCGCTGCCCGGGGTCAGGGGTGATTTTGGAGCTACATTTTGGGTGAGCGTCATCTTGCAAATCTGGAACTGGAAGGAAAACATGGAAAACATCAGAAGCATTCAAAAGCCTAGAGTTTGCCTGGGTGACTTATGGAAAAGGTTCCGTGTAGATCCATCCATTTTGAAATAACATGGCCGTGACTTGAATGTTGGGAGCCAAAAACGAGCTGAAGGAACATGGAAGCTACCAGAAGCATCCTTTCGCAGTCACCTGGCTGGCTGGTGCTCATATCAGCTTCCCCAAACAATGGTACAGGTCAATGGTCAATGTTCAAAAACTCTACGAAGTAGCTGGTTCTTCAATAACCTAGGCTGGTTCCTAAAAAACCATCCACAAAAACAAATCTATCCGCTTCTACTAACTCCAAAATTGGGGGATGGATGTGGAGATCGTTTAATTGAAAAACGACCGTCCAAGGCGCGTCCAAGGCGCCTCGACCGTCGATCGACTCCGCCTCCGCCTCGATCGCGGTCTCGGAAGACCCGATCGACTCCGCTGAGCGGAAAAGCGCCGAGCCGCAGTTGTCCATGGTGGCGGACCGCTTCCTGGCCACTGTGGCAGGGAAACCCAGGGAGGATATGGGAGGATAGAGCTGCTCACGGTGGATGGAGCCTGGAAAAGGCCACGTGGCTCAAAGATAGAGTGCCAGGGTTGGTAGAAGAAACGAGTGAAACAACAAGTTTCCGAAGGGCAAGTTCCTATTTTGATTGACATCGCGTGAGACATTCAGTTCGTGTGTCTGATGGAAATCCAGTCTGGCGGTGTAGTGCAGCCAGGTGACCCCCAACGGATGGTTTCGTACTAAGGCACGAGAACATGGAATTTTTGCCTATGTTCTGCGCCCCTTCAAAAGCCTTCCCTCCGACCAGTTCCGAGGAGAGTCTCAGCAAGGATGAGCTGCTGCCAGCTTTGTCAAATGCGCCACACGCCTGTGTTCTCGGCTTTCGACGATCAGTTCCAGACAGTCGGAATAGGATTCCACGACCGCCTTCGGCCACTGGGTGCCGAAGGGCGGAGCGAATGGCGTGGTTTGGATCCACTTTGAGATCCTTGTCCTGGCCACATTTGTTGCATGGAAAGGGCTTTAAAGTCCCTGCCTTGCATCCAGGATCCGATGTGCGAACATCTCTCACAAGCACATAAGTAGTCTAGATAAAGGTCACTCAAGAGGCTCAAGAGGCAGTTGTGTGTGTTCAACTTTGATTGCTTCGAACACACATTTTGATGTCGCAGGAATTCTCGGGAAGACAAACCTCATTGCTTAGAGCCTAAAGTCATACCTGTGTCAAAAAGAATCCTTTCAATGTTCTGAAGCCCAGTGCCATTGTTGCCCGGTTTGAAACAACAAAAGCTGTGGGTGCGTGTCTCAACATCCCTGATTGCATCAAGAATAGAGTCCGTAAGGGCAAACTCCGGAGTTTTTTGTTGGTTCTTGTTCATCTATCAGTGAGCGCCCAGTACTGTTGATGGAGGAAATCCACGACCGTTTGGCATACGTGTTGTGCATTCTTACCATCTTTTTAGGCAGGCTGGCCGTAGTAATCCTATGATATTCTATGTAATTCTCATTCTTCATCTCCCGGAGATCAGGGTGTCACGGGGGCCAGGTGCTCCTGGCCGGGCGCTGGCGCATCCAGCGCGAAGCCTTGCTGTCCGCGGAGCCCAGGGGCGTTTGGGCGGAGTTCCATTGGGGAGGGAGGAGCTTTGTTGTGGGAGGGGAGGAGAAACTCCAGGAGATGGGGTGCAGAAAGGAGCTTCCAGATCTCCAGGACTCCAGGCCTTCGATTCAGCCAGTCCTCCCCATGGTGATGCCAAGCTCACAAGCACTTTCCAAAGACTACAGTGACTACAGTTTCGCATAGTTTCGCTGGTGTTCGCCCATCATGTTCAAAAGGAAGGGAGGACGCCGATCATGTTGCCCAACAGGCAGTGCTCCACTGCCAGGTCCATGGGGCAATCTTCTCAAGGAGGTCCACTGCTCCAGGTCGGGTCTCGCATGAGGGCCCCTGGAAAAAACACTGGAAAACAAGGAAAAAACAACACAAATCGTCAAATCCCTTAGGTGTATAGTGATGTATAGTCTAGTGTATCACAAAAAAGCAAAAAACAAACAGAAAGGAGCGCTGTGAGCGTGTGTTTTTCAGTGTTTTCCTGCTGATGCCTTTTTCATATAGGTGTGCTTCTTGCAAATACCAATCCTGTACAGGAATAGTGCGCGCCTTTTTCATATATAGGCGTGCTTCTTGCAAAACAGAATCCTATAGAGGAATAGTACGGCCCTCCCCCCCAAATACCAAAAATACAAAAACATACAAATCCTGTAGAGGAGCACTTGGCACTCCCTCCAAATACCAAAAATACCAAACCTCAGGTGGACATACTTGAGCACAAGGGGCCAACTATTCCTCTACAGGATTGGTATTTTTGATATTTACTGAAAAATACACACGCAAAACCAGCGCTCCCCTCTCAAAACAAAACGAAACCCTTAGGTCCCCAGGTGAAGCCCTGAGGTCCCCAGGTCGCTTCCCTTCGCGAGGCTCGAGGTGGTGGAGCGCCTGGGCGATCAGGCGGGACGCGTCGGGGGAATCGGAGTCCGGAGACGTCGAAGGGTGTCTCCTCCGTAGAGTCGCTGGTGCTGGTGGTGCTGGTGGTCTGTCTTTGCGGTTCAAGCGCGGTTCAACTACTGCGGCTTTTGCGCGCGGTTTTGATGGTTTGGGGGTTTGGGGTGGTGTGTTCTTGGTGGTGGAGGGAACAGCACAGCGGAGCTCCGCAACACCCACTTGGACTTCAAAGGCCACCGTGTGTTTTCCGTGGGACCAAGGGCGTAGGGGATCTCCCCATATGACAAGCCTGGAAGACGTGCAAGATGTGGACTTGGCCACTTGTTCTGTGCTCCTGCACAACCATTTAACTCTCCAAAACGGATCGGCGATTTATATTCCAGCAGTGTGAACGGTGACGTCGTGTGCCACCATCATGTTCAGTTTGTTCCAGTCTCATTTCGGTCGTTGTCAGTCAGTGATTCCTGAAAAGGATCTAATGCACCACCCGAGCTGACCTTGGCTTTTGATGAATAAAGCTCATGTGGGGGGTTTATCAATGAAGAGTCTACATGAATCATTCGGTCATGTGAAGGATGTTGCGCATCCATGTAAATCCATGTAAAACCTCCACTTGTTGCAGGTCTTCTTCCAGCAACACTCTAAAATCACCCCGGCCCCGGCCGCAGCCACCTGAGAGAGGTGGCGATGCGCTCGCCGGAGCTGACGAGTTTGCAGCTGGTCTCCGCCGTGGATGTGCCTGAAGCACAGAGAAGGTGTCCGAACTGATGAGGAGGAACGGATGGTATTTAATTTGATTTGATGAGGAGATGAAGTCTGTAAGTTTGCTGGAAGTCTTGATGCGGGATGTTGGGAGCATTTGGTAGCAAACAGTGCTTGAAAAAAGGGTCTCTGTTGCTAAACCATTGGCAGTTCATGAGTGGTGAACCTTGCTTTCCATTGAACCCAACAAGTTGGTAATCTTTACAGAACATCACTATCACCATTAATATCAATACCAAACGCAGAAAACACTCCACTGTTCTTTGATTGATTTCAAGTGTGGATGCACAAGTTGCTGAGGTTTGCTGACATGGGCCTGCCAGGACACCCAGTGAAAGGTGGTTTTCCAAGCGGGTCGTGTGGGTCGAAAGCATCAGAACATGCTTCCGAGATTCAACCTAATTCTATTTCAGATTCAACTCATATATGTTATGATAACAATTCATAATTATGATGGATTCTGATAAGAATTCATAATTATGCATATTCCCGCAAACATCATTTTGATTCAAACACACACTTGCCAAAGCTTCATGTCATGTCCTCACACCATTCTCATACCCATGTCCTTTCACGGCACGCCTGTCACAAGTGGGGCGCCATACCATTCAGCCAAGGCCATACCATTTGGTCTTCGAAGCGGCCTTGTTGGAGCTGTTGCAGAAGAAGCAACCCTTGACATGGCAGCAGGCGCATGGCGAGGTCACCCTTGAGTTGGCGGATCGCTCCCGTGAACCCGACGGTCACCAGGTGCGGCACTGCAGCGGCATGACCACGAAGACCCTGTTTTTCACGCACGGCACGTGGTTTGTCCAAGAAGTACTTGGACCAAAGGTCCTTTTAAATGACCCAAATTAGGTGCTTGGAATTTGGGGGTTGCCATATCTTTAAATATCGGGCCAAGCTCAGTACAATGACACGTGCTTTCTTTTTCTTTGCTTTTGCTTATTACGTTTTTGACTTTTTCGCTCTTAGCGCATTCGGTTTCACCGTAGATTGTTTCCACGTTTCCTTGGACTCCATGTCACAATGCGTATGTCCTGGTTCATTTTGGTTTGCTGCCCTTGTACAAATTCCCACCTGTACCCGTTGCACCATGCAAGAGTCGAGGCTTCTTTCTGGGTGTGTCAGACCGCCATTGGCTCCGAGATCCACCTGAAGAGGTGGATTTGAAACACCTCCAAACAAGATCTGGTGAAAGGCTTCATTTTCTGGTTTACCAAAAAGTTCAATTGCACAAGGGCGCTCCAGAGCGAGGGCGCAACTAAAGGCTCGAGTACACCAGATTTGCGACCAAGTGAACTGGCCGTAGCTTGTTTGCTTGTGTGAGTTTTTGGAGTTTGTATGAGTTTGTAAAGTATCCACAAAATGTTCTCCAGTTCCCCAGGTGTCCCCTAGCTGTTTTGGTGGCATTTCACGGCTGCACAACGATGTTTTGTCTTTCCAGAATGTTCCCCGAGCGTACTTAAAGAACCACGGCCACCCTCAAAACGGTTGACCTGCGCAGGAGGAAAAACACCCAATCCACACGGAGCTGTGCGTTCTGTCATGGGTCCACGCTAGAACAGGTGGAAAAGTGAAAGTTGTGATCGTATCCAGAGAGGTTCAATTGGGTCAACCTGAACTCAGGGGCCCTAATTTCTCATGTCTCCCTATTACTTTCTCCCTATCTCCATCTATCTCCGATATATGATGTTGATCAATATATATATATATATCAATATCATTTTGAAATCATTCCAAATTTCTCTGTACGTTCAAACCCATTTCTGACGCTGCCATCGTCGCATTCTTAAAGGCCATCGTCGTGCTCGAGGCCTTTGCCGCGCGGGTGCCCAGGCGACAGAGATGCAGAGCTATGAAGGTTTGCAAACCATGAAGACATCCTAAGAACTCCTAGTTTTGTGTATATATACTGCACAACTGGGGTCTCAATGCTTGTGCTGCCCAAGGTCCCTGGTATCTATGACTCAAACAGGAGCTAACCCCATCGGGAAAAAGACACCCAGGCTCAAGTTTGCGGATGGGTCGTTATTGTGCAGCCATCCCAGTACCTGGCCCAGTACCTGGCCCCGTTGGGCTGGCAACTTGAGCCACTTCCTCATAGAAATCCCTTTGGGGAAGAAAGATGTGTTTGTTTTTTGTTCCTTGAGCCGCTCCAATGAACTGAACCTTGAGCCACTGCACTGCCAAACCTCCCAGGCGGTGCAGATCCGCATCCCCGAGCTGGCTCGCATCTACCAGCGCTTCCAGCGGCAACAGGAGCCTTTTCTCAGATCACGGGGGGGCCAAGATGCACTTGTTTCTACGTTCGCTTCTTGCTACTACTAGTAAGGCACTTGCTACTAGTAGCGATGCACTTGTTCCTAGTAGCTTCTTGTTTCTAATATCAGTTAAGTTGGTCAAGTGGGAATGCCCTCCCTGCAAGTTGGTCAATGGAAGTGGACACTGGACTCTTGGAAGGGCCATTGTCCTACACAAAGTAGGGTGGGGTGGGTTTTTTCCGATTCCATGTTTTGTTTGGGAGGGTAATAGAGATGTAGGCTACAGCGCTTCTTTGGGGATGTTTCAGGGAAAACCTTTGGAGAGCCTCCCTGTGGTCAACCCACAGCTGTTTTTTCACACATTCAAAACTGTATGCCAAAGCCAGCAAGCTGGTAGTTTCTTTCAACCTTTTTTCAACACCTCCCCTTCAGCCACTTGACCCCCTTCTCCACTCGGCGCACGACTGTCTTAAGGATTATGCATATTATATATATATTGTACTATGTTTGTTAGATGCAATGCTTTTTGATCCCGAAAACTGCATGTGTATGTATATATATAATAGATACATATATCATACATACACATTCAGTTTTCGGGATATATATATATATATTATATAAAGAGGCACACATACACATATACACACACACACACGGGCGGACGCACACGATTGCACACATATCCATGCGTTCGGACCCATGGAATCCAATCGCGAATAGAGGCTCAAAGACTCCCCTTTGGGAAGTTGCTATGAAGCAAAGCCTTTTCGCAACATTTGCCCTCTTCGCTCTTGCAGCCGCCCACGTGAGCTCCATGAACGCATCCAGAAACCATGTTCAGACCGACCCGTGAGCCACCACATAGGCTCCCGTTTTGGGGTCCCTCACAGTCCCTCACAGTGACACGATTTTGGGGCGCTGGGGAGGTTGTTTTGTTCACTACTGTACTGTTGCAGGTGGATTGGGTGCCAATCCACCACAGCCTCCAATGTGTTTGCTCTTTCATTCAAGAAATGTCCTCCAGTATGATAGCTGGCTTGAGCTGGTATTCTCCTGGTTCTTCACGAGGTTCGGTGAGCGTAGTTCCCTGAGCTTTTAAATGTTTCCAACAAGCAAATCCGAACAGTTTTACTCCACAATTTGTCATGTAATTTTCCAGATGTTTCCTAGCTAGAACGTAGATCCTCCACAAGTATTGCCTTCATTTGTATACTGTATATCAATATAAATCAATATATCCTCTGTCTTGCTTTCAAACCAAACACTTTTTAGTTTTCATTCGAACAACTAGCATCGAGGCACCACCGCCTTGTAGAATCGATCTCCGAGGCAAGCAGATGTCGAAGCTTGAGCTGGGCCGAGTGCACATGACTGTGAAGGTCATGGATGACAAGGTCGAGTACCGACCCAAGGAGAGAGTGTGTGTTGTTATGATTATTGTTGTCATTAATAAATGAATCAATAAGTAATAAACTACAGTAGTTTATTACATTTGTTTAAACTTCTATTGAACAGTATTTGCATGTTTTTCTGCAGCACTTGAAGGAGATGTCGCAGCATGCAAGCAGGCACAGTATTGGTGGTAAGCAGGTAGGATGAAACACGACCATCGTGGTCTTCCAAGTTGAGATAAACAGTTTCTAGTGCATGTTTGACGGCACACCACGGCTCCATCTATTTTTGGTTGACATGGGCTGACTGACTATGGTTGACTATGACTATGTGTTTGTGTGTTCCATGGCATATAACGGCATATGATCTCATTCGCCGGTGTCGCAGCAGGAAGGCATGATGTCGGCCAGCTACCCGAAGTTCGAGTTCAACAAAGACGAATGGAATCGCATCTCGTTTTCCTTGGGAAGCAGCAGCCAGTTGCGTCAACACCCAAGCTTCGCGTGAATGTAGACAATTCTAGAAGCCCCCATGATGGAGATATGCATGACTTGATGATGGGGATATTCATGACTTATTGCTCCACTGCCCATCCACTCCTGTCCCATCGGTTCGTTGCGTCCTACTTCACCCGGGTAAATCCAGCGATCAACAAACAATGGCTTCAATTAGTAAAACGCAGAGGGGGTCAGTTAGTATGATCTGCTCTATACTGTCAGTTGACCTGTAAGGTACTAACTACAGTATTGTCAGTGAGTTATTGTTTTCTTGATGGCTGACTCTGGAAACCTCACCGGCAAGAGAATCTCTGAGGTATGGTTGGCACAGCTGAAGATGGTATGGTCATTGAGTATGAGGAAATCAGCAGTTCGACCAGCACCAGCAAAGGTGGTGAAGGAGCTGTGCCCGAGGGTGGCTTTAGCCATCCATACACCAAGCACCCTGGCACAAAAAATGAGTCGATGAATGCGAACTTGTCGCAAGTGACACAAATCCCACGCTGCGAGTGTTTTTGTTTAAAGAAATGCGCGAAGTACTTTGCTGCGGATTGGCCTGGCAGTGGATAGAACATGTTAACTTTCATTCGGTGCGTTTCGATCCTTTCGATCAGCTGAGTTGAGGTGCAAGATTGTGAATGTGGTGAAGCCTTTGGCAAAGGCCGAGAGGGAGGTCAAAGGCATCGTCAAAGGTTAGATGTGCCTGGGGATCCCAAGCTGCGCCGATTTGAAGGCAGTTTCAAGCAAGTTGGCTGTTTCTCAAAGCACACACCTATCAAAAGCTATGAGGCAATGGTAATGGGACCCACACATGTTCAAGAACATGGACAAAAAAGGCACTTTGATTGTCAAGACTTTGAGATGGGGCGGGAGGAATGGTTGATTTGCACTGTGTGCGGTATAATCACTGAGTCCTTCATGAAGCTGTACTCAACAGTGGTACCGCAACATGCGAACCTCTGACTCGGCTGAAAAAGAGTGAAGCGGTGCGCCACGCAAGGGTGCGACTGGGTGAGTCCGCTGCGCAGCCACTCGTGGCTGCTGACGAAGAGGTTCTCCTAAGCTGGAGTGGTCACCCCAAAAACGGGCGGAATTCCGAGGGTCGGCATGGTCTATATAGTGGCTATGACGCATCCCTCATGCACTCAGGTGACTCAGGTGCAACACTAGGCGGACATGCAGGCCACTACCCCACTCCTGCAGTTAAGGGGATGAGCTAGGGTGTGGACCATTAAAACGCAGGTGGAATTCCGCGCGACTTTCTCCGAATTTGGAAGAGTGAATGATCGACAAACTCTTATCTAGAGCCCTACGTGTAAAGGCTTGGAGTTTAGCAACTCAGATCCTCCTCCCTGTCAGTTCTTCCAGTTCATTCCATCTCTCCCTCACACCTTCTGATTTGACCTGCTGGCACCGTGGTGCTCTCACCGTCTCCATCGTCGCCGACGCAGGAGCTGGCACGGCTGCCGACCATGGGCATGGTGCGTTTCCTGGCTGCGGCCACTCAGCTGGAACTCACCGAGAACCGCGATGTGAAGGAGATGACGTGCAGGAGACGTCGCGATTTCGGCTGTCGTCTCGCGTGAGACATCAGCTGCGGGCTCGATGGGACCTTTCGAGTGGGATGAAGAGCATGTTCTCATTTTTGGTTTAGGGTTCCTGGGGTTCTGGGGTTCAGCCTGTCAGCCGGTTCATTTTTCGTGCAATCCAACGGATCGTTTGTTCCAAGATGTTCCAAGTAATATAGAATCTTGATTATAGAGATTCTAGAGATCCTCCATTTGGATTCAACAACTCAAGATTCTTATTGGGGAACCTGTTTTCGTTTACCCTGGCCTTGGTTGAATCCATCCGTGGCCTCGTCGAATCTGCTCAAAAGCCTGATGGTCGAAGGGCTCAAGAAATCGGGTCCAAAGCCCTCATTATGTAAGAAATGCTCTGCAACCTGCGTGTTCCTGACTCCTAGCTTTTTGAGCTAAGGCATTATTGGAGCTGTTGAAACTGGGCGAGTTCCAGTTCGGGGTGCTTCGAGGTTAGGGATGGGGTGCCCAGAGGAAAACCCTCCCGGCGAATTGAAAAGCAGTTCACTCCGACCGTTCCGGCGAAAAGCTCGTGCGATTCTCCTCCCGCGGTCTTCGTCGGGTGCTCCGCGCGAGCGGCTTACGAGCACCCGACTCAGCCACAGTCTCAGACCGGACAACAGCAAAGAGCCTCCCCCTCCAACATGGAAGTGGACCATGCCCCCTAGGAAAATGAGTTTCCTCTATCTAACAAGTGGAAAAATCCAGTTCCATGTTTGTTAAACGGTCTGGTTGCAGAACCGGGCTATTAGTTCACCTGGTCGATCCCGACACGAAAAATACTGGATGGTTGAAGAATGCCCCTCCCCAAAAAGGTCACCATCCTTCAATGCACAGAGGGCCCCCCCCATCCTGTGTGGCTGTAGCTCGCGAGTAGCCCAGCACTGGCCTTCAGGATTTTGGCCGAGACGTCACCCGAGCGTCCCCTGCCCGTGGTGGATACAGCCCGGGTCACCCGGAGACTTCCGCGGTGGCGGTGGAGGAAAGGAGCTACGAGTCGCCCCGGGCCTCCAGCCAGCCCGGTGGTCGGTCTTCTGCATGTCGTGAATGTTCGGTCTTGGATGGTCTTGGTGTTTTTCTTTCTTTTAAGGTTTTTTCCTTAATCCGACTCAAAGTGATTCAAAGTGAGTGTCTATCGTCTATCAATGTCTATCATGATCTATCATTGTTTCTTTGTTTTTCTTTTTCGTCGTGGCCTTAGATGAAATTCAGGACTTCCGCTCTAAGAGCCGCTCTAAGAGAGGCCTGAATATCCACACGAGCATCCGTCGACACGTACCGGGCTGGGTGTGGGGAAGGGCCATGGGGGATGTCCCATGACCTGTAGCAGTCCATGATGTGTTTTCTCATACCCCTAGATTCTGACCCACCAAGCCACCCAACATGTAGGCCACGATGGCAGTCCCAAGCAGGTCCTGTTAGGCGAAGTGGTCCAGGTGGTCAGAGTCAGAACGCGCCCGACGGGCACGGCCGACCTGGTGGAGCGGTTGAGGTTCCACGAGCTCGGCGGGTGTGTTTTCGAATGGCCACGGTTCAGTAAGTACGGCATGGATGAAGAACATGACGAGTTGATCTGGATGTTTGCATTGCAGATGCTTTTGAAGGTGGATGTCCAATGGATTGTGCCTTGCACGGAAATATATTGAACTTTGGTTGGACCATGTATCCTCCATCCACCCACCTAGGATCCATTGGACCCACAGATCCCGTTAGACTAAGTAAGTAGACATCCCTGGACCGTGTCCTCAGCTAGCTTCGCACCCAGGTCTCACTGATCGAAAGCTTGTGGCTCTCGGGCAGCGTGTTGCAGGACTCCATGCGCGGACCGCGGACGGTGACGGAGTCGAGTAAGAGGCTGAAAGGAAGAGATGCACCACTGGACTTCCATGCGCTTTGGCTTTCTTTTGGCTTCGTTCGTCGAAAGCACCATGTCAGCAGTCCGACTCGCGGGAGGTTTCAATCGTTTGTCTTGTAGTTCCACAACTTTTTGACAATGTATATTATAAAGTAACTGTAAACACATAATAAAGAACTAAAGTCAGAATACTTGACCCTTTGGGAGCACACGCCAGGCAATCATATATGCAGTGAGATATATCAAGATGCTTCGATCAAGTTAACCCACATGTTTTTTCTTTTCACCTCTGCAGGACATGCAGCTGAGACATTTGCTCAGCTGGGTTGCAGGGACAGCCCAGCAGGGCTATTATTTTTTTCCACAGCGAAACGTCGACGTTCCCACGTTTCAATGACCTATCCTTTTTTTTGGGTTCCAACTTGGCTGCGGGAGGTTGTGTGTCTTGTCGTTTGACCGGACACCTTCGGTTTTGGATTTGGAACCTCAGCCCGACGAGTGGAGTCGCGGTGGAGGCTCGGTCAGGGTGCTCGGCCGAGGGCAATTCGAAAGACCGCGGCTTCCAACGAGGGCGATTCGTTTGGGTCGAGCCTTGTGGTGATCGCATGTCCGGGGTTTAAATCCGGTGCAACACAGACCGGACAGGCGGGCCACTAGTCACTGCTCCACTACTCCACCTCTATCCAGCTCTGCATTTCAGGGAAAGAGCTAGGGTGGGGACTGTTTAAACACAACGACCTTAGTTCCAACTATAGTCTTTTAGGAGCAAGCGAGCCTTCCAACTGGTATCCAAATTAATATACTGTACATTCCGTGACAGGATTGTTGGAGTTCGGGGTTGAGAGATTCTCGAAAATGCGCCCTGGGGCGATTGTAGCCAGCCGGATGTTTGGACTTTGTTAGGTTGGAGGCCGTGAGACAGAAGTGTCCCATGATTAGGACCACTCAAGTATTTTTGCACTGCACTGGAACTCTTGATTTGTCCGTTCTGAAGATGCCCTTTTGTCAAGAACTGCCGGTCTCGGCATCCAGCCGTCCGGTCTCGTCCGCCCTTGAGGCGACCCTGCGCCCGCGGGAGCTGTCGGAGCAGAACCTCACCACTCTGAAGGGGGGCACAGCGGACGAGAGCAGTGCCGGACTGGGACGGAGGTGAGCTTAGTGAGCTTAGGGAACCCCAAGCTAGATTTCCATTTCAGCTGAATGAAGCCATAGAATCAGAGGGGATGTTAGTTTTTCCATCGCATACACTCCCTGAAAGAATCATGGAACACCGGCCATTGTCCACTTCCATGATTATTTAGAGGAGTGTAGGACACCTGGTGCTTCCTTTTTTCCTGGATACTCTTGGGTTGTCTAGAGGGGTTGGCTACTGGAAAAAGTGTCAGTGGTAGGCTTAGCCGCTTCTGAAGCTTCAGTGGTCCAGACTACGGAGGAGCTCTGCAACACCCGGCGGTCCAATTCAACCGGCAACGCTCTGGTTCAAGAGATTCGAACATCCTCGAGCTCCGAGGTGGTTTTCCATAGATGCTTCACGCGTTTGCAGGCCAAAATGATTGGTTTGCAGGAAGGACTTCACCACTCCAGGCTATGGATTTTCCGACGTCTCCTAATCTGAGGTGGTTTGGATGTCTTCCCTCGACCCGATGAGCTCCGGTACGCGTCTCCATACCACTCAGCGAGGCGCAACTACATCCTCTTCATCCTGGCTCAGGCCTCGACCGGTACGCGTCCGAAGACAGTGCGGGGTCGGACCCGCTGGGACCCGCCAGTCTGGTAGACATGTCATGCTGAAGAGTGGTAGACATGACATACAGTTATATACGTAAAATCAATTCACACATGGACTCGTTTGTTTCTTTTGTGGTCGTTTGATGATCATCTGGTCGATATGGGGCCAGATGGCCTGTCCATCGGTTTGTGGGGCATCCTGGCTAAGTTGCAATGAGAGCACCGAGGGTTGATGTGAGCGGCGAGTTCACGTGTTTTAGTGGTAATGTTAAACTCTTAGTTAGATTCTTCGGTCCTGAGTATCGCCAGATAAAGGTGAACGGAGATGAATACAGAGTATATAGTATATAATTAGATGATAAGATGTACTTTAGTTAGTTGTCCTTGGAACAAATTGATCTGATATATTTTTGGGCCTACTCATTAGGGTGTGGGGTGTGTACTTGTTCATTGTTGCTTCCTTGAACTATGTGCATCTCATGCCACAGAATCCAAGACTTGAGCCCTTTATTTAGCTCGTCAAACGCCCGCAGGAAGATGGAAGCGCACGTTTGAGCTTGCCCTCTCCTTAGCAATTTCCACTGGGCAATCATACGGATACGCTGGCAACTGGAATGCGTACTAGTAGGGTTCGATGAGAAACCAACTTCTTGAAGGCTTTTTGTCCAGTTACAGGTACAGTTGGTATGTCAACAACTGCCGTGGCCCCACGCCAAGTATATAAAGATCGACGAGTTTGAGGACCCGATTTGGCCCCCCCATTGGCTGGTCGGAGCGGCGCCAGAACTGGTCCAGTCTCGGCTGCTTCTTTCGATGGGCCCTCCGTGTCGCGGTTTCCGGACGGCTCGGCTCTCGGACACGTCGCCGAGTCACGCCCGACGCTCGCCCAGGCAGAGGATGCCCGTGGAGATCCAGACCCGGCTCTCCGAGCTTCTCTGCCCGGGGCGCCCGCACCGAGGAACCAAGGAACAGACGGCTCGGGACGGAAGGGACGGCCCGGCCACTCGGGTTCGGGCATCGGTGAAGGCACGCACTGGCAAAACAGGACCCCCATCTCGTCCCTTGCAAGAGAGAATCCCTTTACAAAACCAGTAGTTTGGTGGTCCATGTTGCTGCAATGCAGAGGGGTACCCAGGCCACTCCTCTCATCTTTTGGGTTTGCTGGAACATAGTTGAGAAACTCTACAATCTCAGGCAAACCACATGCCCCGGCGGTTTCTGTTGTTTGTAATATACCCCCAAGACCAACTTGGCAAACGAATGCGAAGCTGATTCTGGCCAAGCCCTAGATGTTCAACCGCCGAGACGTCGCCAAAGACTCTTGCCGATGTGGATCCAAACATAGACAGGTTCAGATATCCCGCTGGTCCAAGAGACCTCCAAACCCGGTGTTTGGTGTTTCAAGCCATCTTTTTGGATGCTCGTTTCCTTCATGTTGGGCACCGGAATTGTTCTGAGTCTTCAAACCTGGCCACCTCCAGGCCTTTTGTAAAAGGAATATAAAACAAATTGAAAGCCAAACAAAAGTCAAACATTGTGAAGCTACACAGCCTCATGAGTGTTGAACATTCAGAGCCCCTTGTCAAGTTGCGTCAATTCCTCAGTTTCTTTTATCTCCGCTCTGGAGATAAACATCCACTGCTAATTTCCATATCTTCCATCATACCGCATACCGCCGCATACCGCCGCATACCTCAAAAAGTGAATCCCCGAAAGAATCACCGTCAGCCACCGTGAGGCCATCCATCCCCTTGCTGGACCAGGACGCCCAGCGAGGAGACACGGCTCCTGCGCTCCGAGGCGGAAAACGTTCCCTGCGACCCGCGGAGTCATCGTCCGGTGTATTTTCCGGAGAGATCCTGGGGCCCTGGGGATTTCTGGTGTCTTTTTGTTGTGGAACATAGCATGTTTGGGAGCTCTGAACGGTGTTGTTCTTTGGGCGGTTTGAACCAAGGTTTTTAGATCGCGAAAGGATTTTCTTCGCGCTCCGCCACGAGAGGGGCTTCCGCGCGTGATGTGTCGAGCGCGCGTGGTGCACCCTCGGGTGCCTTTCGGAAACCGCTGCCGGAGCCAGGTGTCGGAGCTGCTTCTGGAAAAGGCCAGGTGGGACGGGTTGGGGCTAAGGCTAAGGGTCACCTTCCGAGGGCTGGGCTCTGTGAATGAAAGAAAGAACCAAAGCCAAACCAAGCAACTTAAGCAATGAAACCATATGAAACCACTAAAGCAACTTATAGTTCTTTTGTGAATGAAACCACCAAGGCAACTTAAGCAACCCCAAATCGATGGTTTTTTCTTCTCCACGACCGTTTCGCCTTTGTCCCCTGAATTGAGGCGCCCAGCCATGTGGCCGCGCTGCCGGCGGTGTCGCTGGGCCCGGCGGGGCAGGCGGATCTAGAGGCCAGACGCAGTCGATGTGCAGATGCAGATGGGACGTCGGTCGGAGGTCGGAGGTGCTCAAACGGACAGACTTTTGTTTTCCCCTTTATCAGTGCCAGCAGTAGAGACAGAACTTGAGATGCGAGGACACACAACCGATGGACCGCCTTGGTTCCTGATTCCTTGGCACGTTTGGGGCGGTCCACGATTCGTGTCGTGTTTTTCTTTTCTCAATGGGTGCGAGATCATCACCCGACAGACGCTCTGGGGTGTCGTGGAATGATTGTGGGGTGAGAAAGCATTTCTTATCTTCAGCATACTCTTCAGCATCTTTGCATCAAAGACCTGGTATCCTGACAGAGTTGCGCCTGCTCAAAAGCAGCCAAGTTTTGGGAGCAGATTGCTGCTGCTACATTTTGGGGAGACTCATGCAGACTCTTGATTAATTATATGACCCTCCACATGAATCACGAGGTCTTACCATCCAAACTGTATGTTTTCATATATTCGATTTTTTAATTGTCTTTATCAACAGTCTACATCTACACGAATCATAAAAAGCTGGAAGCTGCAAGCCAGGGACACTTCGTCTCACACGTCCCGTGCCACTTCCTTCGAATAGGGACGAAGCTTTTGCACCAAAATCGCAGGTGAACCCTGCAATGAATCCGGGAAGTTCCGTGGCATACCCGGCTTCAGTGGGAACGAAGGACTTCACTACTGACTTCACTCTACTGGGGCTCAGTTGGAATGCCCTTATCCACCAACAAAGCCCAGAGGAGATCTACAAAGCTCAGGTACGGTTTTCGTACAGTTTTGCCTTTACTGTTGGTTGATTGAGGGGGGTTTAGCCAGAGACCGCGAAGAAGGTGAACAACTAAATCGACCCCTGAGATTCGTCCTGTTGACATCACTGGCCGCATGCCTCGCTGAAGGTCAACCATGTTGGTTGGCTGCTGGATGGCCCTGAGGCCGTTTTTTGTGACCGTGGCGAAAGCACGTACGAAAGCACTGTGTGATGCTGGGTGTGCTCATGTGGGGCAATACCGAAAAGCGACCAAAGAACACTACATGGTTAATAGGTGTGAACAGCATCCATGGTAGTCCAGATTGTTCACTTAGATAGGGCTTGAAGAAGGCTACTTTTGGGGGTGTGGACACATATGATTGCCCATGTGTGGGTCGGTCGGTGAGCACCATGTGTTTGACCTAGCATGCCAGTGGGATGTGGTTCTTCTCGGTTTCGCACCGAGCAAGCCAGGCCAGTGGTGACGTGCACCGGGTTCGCGAAGCTCCACACTTGTGAAGGTTCCTAGGAGCCACGACTCATCCAGGATCTCATGTTCGGCCACACTTCACCTACATAGTGAAACCCGGAGATAAGAGAATCCATGACCTGCAGTCATTACATTTCGTTACGGTGACCGTGGTAATTATCCTTTTCTATTGGTACAGCCTGGCGTCCAGTATGAGGATTTCATTTCTTGAACAATTTGAACAATGCCTTTGTTCAGTCAGACCAAGCATTGTTATTTGCAAGCTTCTGCAGCTCATGTCCCATAGATGTTTACCACTGAAAGTCCTCCAGGACAAGGCAACATGTTTAAGACTTATACCGACTTATACCACATTTATACCACACATTTCGAGAAAAGGACGAACAACTCACCCACCTTGTGCCCTTTCTCCCAACTCACAGAGGTCTACGTTGGTCGATCGGCGCCACGGACCGCCGGAGGCCTTTTTCCGGCCCTTCACGCCCTTGCGGTACACCCCCCAGGCGCCTTCGCCTGGCACGGGTGGCGTGATGTGGGTGAGGTGAAGGGTTGTGTGGAGGTCGCATGTCGTGAAAAGCCGCATGGTTGGTGGTTGGGTGGAGATGTGACATGCCCAAAAGTGAGATGTGCACCACCTGCAATTCAGAAAACACCCCCCTGGTGGCCCGAACAATACTATGCCATGTTGAACGTTGGCCCATCAAATTCACACATGAGGAACCACTTGGACCTGCGACGACCAGAAAAAAGAAAGCGGTCGTAGGATGTTGCTAAAGCCTACAAAAGGAATACCATGTTGAAACATGTCCTCTTCATTGACGAGACGTTTCGGCATACACCCATGGACGGGCTTGTGGAGCAGTGATGGAGTTCTTATGAAAAACAATTCAGTGATTTCCTGCTCTTGTGTTCTAGAACGATCCTGTTTTTGGTGATGGTCCCTGACCTGTGAAGAGATGGCACCATTCACCCTTGCTTGCGGAGAGATAGTGACAGTTGTTTATCTCTGCAGCATGTTGCGTAAGCCCAGGCCTGTTGACGAGGCTGTGCGAAGTACTTTCCAAGCAAAATCTATGTAAGGTCAGGCATAGATCAGCCGTGCCGGCCGCACGTTAGATGGACAGCTGCAAGCAAGCTCCGCACGTCAGTGCCAGCCGCGTGGTCCGACCGCAATGTTGTGTGTGCGTTCCAGAACTGAACCTGATCTGAACTCAGACGCCCGGCACATGGGCGACGTCGCGGCCGAACCGTGCCATCGACTGCTCCTCTGCCGTCGCGGCCAGGAGAAGCAGAGAGCTTGGCTGCTGGAGACCTTGCTTCGTCGCGACGACATGTCGGGGGACTCGGGGACGGATCGCAGTCCTCGCCGTTTCTCCTCGGGGACTTGGGTGTGCTGCGATTGCAGGGGAAGAATATGGGCCAATGAATGTAGGACTGAGATCTTCTGAGGTTTCTTGAAGGGACTCAATCCCTAGTCATGAAGGACAGTAGTTGGGGCGGTGGTATATAATAGAAATATTTAATTTAATAGAATACAGGAATATATATATATATATTGTATATTTCTTTTTCAATTAGCAGCCTAGGAGAGCTGCAAAGATTCCAGGGGTGGGTCAGTGAGGACGAGCAAACAAAACCAAAAGGCAAGACAGAACGAAGACAGCTGACTACTAATCGTTTGAAATCGTGACAGTTGACAGCAAAGACATAGCTCTTGACTTGACCGTGAAAGTTTTTGGGACATGGCCCGGCTGAATCATTTGAGATAAATTGCTTCTAGGTCGGAGGCTATCGCTACTAGGTTGGAGCCCATCGCCACTAGGGTAATGTTTTGATTTTTGTTGCTCAATTGTTGCTTTTCATGGCCGCAGCGCCGCCCAAAAGGCTGCAGGACGCCACCCAGGACACACGTTTTTTTCACTGCCATTCCAGCCATGGGGTATTCTTAGACACGTGTGCCTATGCGGTGTCGAAACTGGAAGGCAGTGAGAATTGGAATGCCGGGCGCCCGATGGCTGGTTGAGGAGTGCTAGCTCAGGCCAGTGTGTGGGCGGTGGAGTTCATAGTAACGCTGTCCACCTTCTTGCATGCGATGCAATCACTGCGAAATGGGAACTGCAAGGAAATGGGCAGATCAAGCTGGCTTCCAGCAACATGTGCTTCACTCAAAAAGGCCTGGATGTTGCAAGGCGCGCAGCTCGACGCTCAACGGTGTGCATAGTGCTGCGCTGGCTGTTCAGTGGCCTCCACGTTCTGGGCGTTCAAGCTTGACGAACCAGAGCCATCCAGAGTCCGTCAACGAATGACGATCAACGAGACGCCCACTCCAGTTCTAGAGGCAGTCTTGGACTTTGAGGCAGGTGCCTTCAGCCGCTGTGGAAAGATCCCGCGATGGAGCAAGCTTGGTTGAAGTCTTTTGTCGACAGAAGCAAACATTTTTGAACCAGTTCAGTGCCAGTGAGGGAAGAGCAAGCCGCAGCAAGCCGATGGAGTATAAGGGTTGTAATTGTTTACCGCCGCGTGCAGTCAAGGACATGTCAGTGACGGCCGTCTGCCACCATGCGCGCCAGCTGGAGTTCGGAGTAAGTGCTGATGCGTGTGACAAATACTTCCCAGTCGCCGTGGCATCCTTGACTCCACAGTTCGCGCCAAGCTGGTCTTCCAAAGTTGTGGCCCTTGAAGCTGCTGGTGTCGCTTTGTCCTTTGTAGCCGTTGACTTGGCCACCGCAACGCCAAACATGCGTGCGTGCAGTGCAATATCAATGAAAGCCATCTTCAGCGCACTCAGGCGGCTTCAAGTAGGCCCTGCTTGGTTGAAGCCGCTTGAGTTTGCTGAAGGCTATCATTATTGGGCATGGAAGCAGGGCAATGCAAAGTGTTTCTTGCTGAAGCTAGGAAATCAATTGTCCGGGGCAAGGAGCCTATTGCAAAAATGAGCCGCAGACAATTTTGTGCTTTTATTTTCGGACAATCACACTGGACATTTTTGCGCTGTTTCTGCTTGTTATTTGTTTAAAACCAGTATCTATTATTTGGGGACAACTACGACGATCATCAGGGATACCCAACAGATCAAACCACCTCAAGTGGCTGGCGACTGTCGTTGGACCAGTTTGGCCATGTGCCATTAACACCACCCAAGAGGTGACAGACTACAGAGATCTTGACAGGTAGAGAGCAGATATGAGCAGATTCACTTTCATCATTTCATCACTTTTCCAATCCCAAAGAACCACCAAAAAGCAGGTTCGAAAGCCCTCTATGCTAAGTCCTTCAAACAGTCTTGGGAACCATCGCCCTCCCATTTCAGAGACGGAGCAGCGGCTGGGTAGAGTGTTTTGTTTTAAGGATCAGTGCTGCTGCGTGCAGCCCCAACAGTGATGTTCCGGATGCATCAGAACCACCAGCTGGGCGTGACCGGACATGTTTGTCTCGCGTGACCGGACATGGTCTCGCCAGGGCCGCCAGGGGTATCACTTGGTCAGTGAAGCGTTCCGCCCCCGCGTCGACGCGGAGCCCGGACACCTCGACGACCCGCTCGACCCGCGCGGACGCACCGGGACGACTGCACGGCCGACGGGACCGGGGACGGGTCGCGCCAGGCGCCAGGCGGTCGTGGCCGACTTCTTCCCGAAGGCACGGCAGTGGCCCACGCTGCCACGTCCGGGTGCCTGGTGGGCGACGGCTGAAGGCACTCGAAACATGGTCATTGTCCGAGTGGTGGTAAAGCATGGTTAAACACATCATGGAACACATGGCCGTGTATGTTTCCCGGTGAGAACTCATGTGTTTGGCATGGGGAACACGCCCCAATCATATGTGATGTTCTATGATATCGATCTAATCTATCGATCTTCTTTCCATTTCACGTCCAACCCACTGGGTGAGCCACTCGTTTGCCTCATCGGCGCTTGGGCTCCCAGGCCTTCAACGGCTCAATTGGTTGGAGCCCGGGACCTAACGAAGCCCAACGGCGCGCTCTGCGTCGCTGTGGCATGCTCAGTCTGACAGGTTGATGAGATGGGTTTTTCGCGTTAGATCATGCACATGGTAGAAAGATGTAGAAAGAGAGTATTTTCTTTGAAAGTCTTTGAATGACAGCAACCCGGCACCATGAACGGGTTTGTTGCCCTTTATGAGATTTATGCTTAAATACATACAGGGTCGCACACAATGACATATGCATGTAAAGGGTACAAAGGTAGAAAAACGAGTGTTTGCTTTTGCATATGGCGGCTTAATTGGGAGAAAAGTCAAAAGGGAGGTTGAGGAAATATCAGCCGTTGCCAGACTCCCAGATTGAGAAAAGACAGTCCAAAGTGACTTGCCAGCTTGTTTCTGTATAAACAGACCTGACAAGGTTACAAATAATGTTGGATCCTGATTAGTAAAGGGGGGTCCCCCCCCCACCTCAAACAAACAGAGGACCCTCAAAAATAAACTACCACCAAAACAAATCTGGATTCCTGTGAGAATTCCTGTGAGAAAGCTGTCAGTTTTGAAGAAACCTAGAGAAAACTACATCAGCTAATGAATCATAATCATTCGCCTCAGGAGCTAAGGAAAGGAAGATTACATGAGCATTTTTTCCAGTGGAAAAAACTTTTCAGAATTGAGAACCCAAAAACAAATCTATTATTGAGGATCAGGTTTCCTGGTCTACTACCTTGAAAATTTGTTTAGGAGCAATGTTTCATAAAGGGTTTAATTTGGAATTGGTGGCTTTGGTCAGCTGTCAGTTTTGAAGAAACCTAGAGAAAGCTATACCAGCTAATGAATCATAATAATTGGCCTCAGAAGCTAAGGAACGGAAGATTCCATGAGCATTTTTACAGTGGGAAAAACTTTTCACAATTGAGAACCCAAAAACAAATCTATTATTGAGGATCAGGTGCCTTCCTGGTCTACTACCTTGAAAACTTGTTTAGGAGCAATGTTTTATAAAGGGTTTAATTAGGAATTGGTGGTTTTGGTCAGCTGTCAGTTTTGCTTTGCTGCTGGCTGCTTGCCTGGAAAGGGAGGAGGGAGTGCAGGTGGACAGGGTTCAGAAGGAATCAAACCCTTATTAAGTAGGTTTCCAATTTAAAAAATTTAGGGCCCCCCAAAAAGTTAGCATTATTCAGGAACCATTTTTCAATCATGGGGTCTGGAATAATTTTGGAAAATTTTAGCATTATTGCGGAACCACTTACTAATCAGCATCCAACATTATTCAAAGAGACTAGTAGAAGTCAACAAACAAGCGCCCACCAAGCTCTGAAAATAGAGCCATGAAGCTGGACGTGATGATCTTCACAGAGCAACGCCACTGATGTTGGAAGACCTTGGCGACCAGCCACCCCGGAAACAAAATGGAATTGCAAGAACCCATTCAAGCCTGGCCAGGGTATCTCCTCTGAAGCGCAGGTTGTGTTGACAAATGCTTGATCTACACTTGAAGAAGAGACTTCGGGGTGCATTGCCGTTGGCTGATTCATTGAAGGTGATGTCGAATGTGGACATTACCTGGCAGGGCTTGGCTGGACACACGCAGTGCAGTGCAAAGACAATTCAGAAGAAGATTCGGGAAGTGGCTCTTGGGAGGGCTTCTGAACTTCCTGCACCTGCGAAGGATACACTCTGTGTCAACAATCCCGAGTACCTATTACAAAATACTCCCCAACTTAAAAAACACCATGTCCGTAAACCTAAGTACGTCTTATAATGTTTAGCTCTCATTAGTAAACCCCCCCCCTATGATGTTTTTCGGGGCAGTCAAAATCCTGAACCTTAATAAAAAACCTCTAGGCCACTTGGCAGAGGGGACAGTACTAGTAGTGCTTGCATTCTGCTTTCATTTGCTTTCACTTTGCTTTTCATTTTGCTTTCACTCTGCTTTCATTTGCATTCATTCTGCTTGCATTTGCTTTCACTCTGCTTGCATTCGGCTTGCATTTGCTTTCATTCTGCTTGCGTTTGCTTTCATTTTGCTTTCATTCTGCTTGCATTTGCTTTCATTCTGCTTGCGTTCTGCTCGCACTTGCTTTCATTCTGCTTGCACTCTGCTTGCATTTGCTTTCATTCTGCTTGCACTCTGCTTGCGTTTGCTTTCATTCTGCTTGCACTTGCTTTCATTCTGCTTGCATTTGCGTTCATTTTGCTTTCATTCTGCTTTCATCTGCTTGCGTTTGCTTTCATTCTGCTTTCACTTGTAGGCAAGGATAAGCCAGCAGGGCTGCAGGGGGTTTGATTATTGTAGGTTTGTTTACAATTGCAGGGGTGGGAGTGTGAAGGGGTACCTTTTGTATTTCTTTGATAGGGTTTTCATAAGGGCATTTAAAGCTTTTGGCTAGCCAATGTTTTTGGAAATCTGATAAAAACAACACATTAAAAAGAAAAGGAGAGAGAAGACGAAAAATGAACAAGAAGAAGGAAGAAGAATAAGCAGAAGAAGAAAGAATAAAGGAGAAAGAAGAAATAAGAAGAAAGAAGAAGGAGAAGAAGAAGAAAGAAGAAAGAAGAAGAAGAAAGAAGATAGCAGTAGAAGAAGGAGAAAGAAGACCATTCTGAAAGCATTCTGTTGGCGCAATTAAAAGTAGTAACTAGTATTGCAATTTTCTGGCAGTCAAAAATAGCTTTTTTTTGACGTGGTTTAAAATTGCTTAATGAACAAAATATTTTTTGTTTTATCAAATTTGGGCCTGGATGTTTGCACAATTAGAAGTAGTATTGCAAAATTCTGGCGGTCAAAAAATAGCTTTATTATTGATGCATGGTTTATTAAGAGGAGGTTAGCATTATTTGTTTTTACATTACCACCCTTTCAAACCGCGACTAAACTACCAACATGATCGATTTTTGGTGTAATTCGTCCCTTTAGGTTCCAAAAACAACCAATAAAAAGGTGTTTGTAGGGGAAAAGGAAGACCCTTCCATCTGGAGGTTTTTGAGTGTTTGATACGAGGATTTTATATAACAAATTCCTGGGTGACTCTTTGGTTTTGAAGCTTCTCCCAGGTGGACCACCCCGGTTTCAGGGACCCCCTATTACAAAACATGCGACCGAGGTTTTCTTAATAGGGGGGCCCCTATGTTTTTAATAGGTGGACAGGATTACTGTACCTCAGCTTAAGGTGGCTGTCAAGTTGTCAAGGAAAACTCAGGGCGCGGTCTATTGAACGCGAATTGCTACGCGGCGTTTGGTTCTTGGGAGGCCTTTTGCACAAGTCACTGGCGACCCCTACATTGCAAACTTGGCAGGTGGCGAGGTTGGCGCCCGGCTTCACAGCAAGTGGCTTCTGCAACAGGTGTTGCACTTGGGCCGTAGCATTTTGGATAATTCGGGAACGCCTAACGGCCCCGCTGCTAGGCCTTGGCATTCCCTCAGCCTTGGAGGGTATTGCTGACAGCGGTTCCGGAGACCGATATATGGGCGTGGAACGTCTTGTTCTTTTGCTTGTGCAGTGTGTGCTTTCTTCCGAGAGCCTTCTGTTGGCTGCGCAAATGAAGAAGGTGACTCCAAACCGACGGACCGAACCACCGTGACTCAGAAACAAGTGGGAGATCGATGGCCTGGCAACCGTCTCATCAACGCATTTTTAATCACAATCTTCATAAGAGAAAAGATGGCCAGGGCACTCCTCAAGACTTTCGAGGTTGCAGTTTGAGCGGTCTTTAGTTGCTGTTGTTGCTGGTAGCGTTCCTTTGTTGCTTTCTGTAGTGGTTGGTTGGTTTCGGTATGTTTCTGTAGTTGTTGCTTTATGGTGCTGTCTATGATACTTGCCACCTGAAAAGACACTGGAAAGGTCTTGCTGTTTAGACATCCTCTATTGAACAGAGCGGATTATTTTTGCTGTATAGGCACCCTGCCACACTAACTCAGGCGCCAGGCGCACCAAGTTACACCGGTTCTGCGCAACAGCCTTCAACCCGGGAAGGCGGCAGGCGATGACAGTTCGCAAGACTATTAAGAAAGAACGCCCTGCAAAACTGGAATGGTTCCTGGACTTGCAGCCGTCCAGACCCCGGCTGAAGTGTTCGAAGGGCAGCTGGCGTTCGAAGAAAGAGGTCTGCGCCGACGCTAGATCCGTGTAGTGATAGGGGCCCGATTGTGCGTAAAACCCATCCCCCTGAGGTTTCATATATGTGCGTCTGATGCATGTGTGACGGAGGTATTTCGACAATTGGAACTTTTCCGGCATTTTACGATATGTAACATCTACAAAGATGATGTATCTTCACAGAGCATGTAACGTCTACGAAGATGATGTTGCTTCGCGATGAGGTATCGTCTCTAACTAAGATGACGTTGCTTCGTGTAATAATGTCTGTGTCATATCGTCTACGTCTCCTTGTGTAGTGACGTCTAGGTGTAAGTGTCTATTTGTGTCACAAGCAGCAGCGAAAGAGGTGAAGACATAGTCTGGGTCAAAAGGATGTGCAGCGGGCGTCTAGGCACAATCGCAACTTTGTTCTTTATGACCCGCACAATCTGGGCACAATTTTGCCGCAGCTGGCTAATAAGTTCCGGCTGGGGTCAACCTTTTGAACAAGTGGCCAAGTGCATTTCATCAGCAATGAGCAATATGTTCGGAGAGTTTGCAGGTCCGGCCATAGGTGGATTGTGGGGAGACAGGGTTTTCCAGCTACTGTAAGTAGAACGTTTTTCCGACCATGTTTGCGCCCCACCATTCCTGTATACATAGTCGACCACCTATCGTGTAGCTAGACATAGGGTACTCGGAGTCTACTAGTTGGCAGAATGATTTGAAGGGTCACGAATGACACCTTCACTCATATGATCACTTCGGCTGTCTGGAAAGATTCCCTTCGCACCGACGCAGAGAAGATGATTCGGAGTGGATCAAGCATTGAATTTTTCAAATCATCATCTGGTCACCTGGTTCACATGAGAGAAGTCACCCAACCAGGTGGGAACGAGACAGCGTTGGAACGGAGTTGCTCCTGAACCCGAAAACTTCGCAAGAAGTGGTTGCTTGGAGAAACAACCCTACACCTCTTGACTGGTTGTTTGGGTTCCAGGCTGGTCATGACAGGTTGTTTGGGTTCCAGGGCTCAAAAGACATGTGGGAAACAGAGATGCATTCAAGGCACAAATGTTACCACCCCTTCTCCGCTCTTCCTTTGGTGTGTCCTTGGACGCATGCGTCGCAGCTGGGAACACCTTCCTTTCTTCTCTTTCCTTTTTTTTCGTCTCCCTACCCCTCCCCCCTGTTGGGACCTTGGCTTAGGTTGCTACTAGGGGCTCCTGGCTTTGCTATTAGGTGTTAGGACGCGACTTTGACGCTACTACAGGTTCCTGGCCTTGCTACTACTTTGTCTGCACCTGCAACACGCCTCCCCTCGGGGAGGCGTGTGTGTGTGTAACCCTTGGAGTCATAGGGATCCTTCTGGATTTGCTTAATTTTTTCATTGCAAAGGGACCATCCATGTGTTGTGAGCGATGGTCCAACGAAGCGGCCACAGCACATGCGGATATCTGGCCTGATCAGCCAGACGTACCTGCTTTCCTCGAACTTTTGAACTTTTGATAAAGTGCTAGTGCAGCTGCAGTCACGCACGGAACGCCGTCACCCTGTCGGACCGACCTCGTCTTGAGCCTTTGGCCACCGTTCCTTTTGACGACCTCCAGGCCCCAGGGATTCGTACTTATACTCTTAGGAAATGGAACCCTAGGCCGGCGTGTGGCGCCGCTATCAAATCAGTACGCATATCCATGAGTGTGTTTGGCTACGCGCCAACCCGGGATGAGCCCGCAGAGTGCCTCCCGTGGACCCGTCGAACGGGTGTACGTCGTTATCTCCTCTGCCCGGAGATGTAGATGCCCAGAGCGGGCGAAGGTGGCCTAGGCCGTACGTACGATGATTTTCGTCCCATCTTTGGAATTCTAATTTGGCTTATGCCTTTACGTGACCGCAGCGGTCAGAGGTGGCAGCCCTCGGGCAAGCCGTACGTGGTCGCAGCGACCAAAGCTTGTTCAAGGTTCTTTGGAACCTGTCGTGCACTTAGCCCCCCTTCTCCCCCTTCCCTCCCCCGTTCTTTCTTTGCTTTCTGGGGTTTTCCTGAATGCAATACTCAGGATCACCCCTCTCTTTCTTGGGTGTGTCCCTGGACGAAAAACACCTTCCTTTCCTCTCCCTTTCTCTCCCTGTCTCTTTCTTTCCTTCTCTCTTTCCTCTCTTCACCCTCCTCCCTGATCCTATAACCTACGCATGCCCATGAGAGAGAAGACTATTGCGCTAGCCTTTGCAGAAGGATTAGTGTTTTGTGCCCGACTTGTGCAGTCGGTGCGCGACGAGCTCCTCTTGACACGCTTGAATGCTGGTGACCCGGACTTGCCAGAAGCATTGACCTTAGGAGTGGAATGAACTTGAGTGTCTTTCCATGTACATTCTGTTCATTGCATCAGCTTCTTCGTGCGTGATGTTTCTTTCTCTTCCCTGTCCATCAGCTCTCAAGGTCTGTGTGCATGGCACCTACTGGAGCTGCCTGCGAAAGATTCGGAGGCGGAGAACCGATCGGCATCCAATCGGTTTCGCCTTCTATCCTAGCCATCTTTTTCTGGCTTTGCAGGGAAAACTCATGTTGCGTCTAATCCCTCCTGTGGCAGGGACGGCCTGGTGGCTGGCGGCGGTGGAGGCAACAGAAATCACGTGCATATCCAGCCGTTCGAGCCAGATGACGATCGTGTAGTCTCAGGCTTTCGCTACTTGGTTGAGATCTGGGGAATAACGGAAATTTCTCTACAACTTGCTTTCCCGACATTCGACGCAGTTCTTGGCATCTAAGGAAAGGACTGCCAGGCGCACGGTGCACATAGTTCTTTTTTCAACATGTGTAACCAGGTAATGTCGTACAAGGGTTCACAGGATGACAGTACTCACAGTATCATTTCACAGCTTCGCACATAACGCGCATTGCTGCTAGAGATGCATGACGCTTCTTTGATATATCCATGCAAGGTACCTTATACACACTCATGGAAATGCATACTGATTTGACGGCGGTCCCACACGCCATCCTAAGACACCCACATCCTGAAAGTTCCAGGAAAGCCCTAAAGGGGCATGGGGCTCCGCAAGAGGAAATGTTGCCACAGGGCCAAGATCGAGGACGACGAACAGGTCGAAGTTACGGCGGTCGCTCTTGTCTTCAGCTACATTGAGGTTCTGGGATCAGCCTCGTGCCATTCGAAAATTCGCAGGTACGTCGCGGTGATCAGTCGTGATATCCGCAAGTACTGTGGCTGTTTCGTTGGACCATCGCACACCGTACATGGATGGTCCCCCTGCTCAAATAGGAAAAAGAAGTCGGAGTCGAAGGTACAATCCAAATGGATCCCTGTGATTACGAGCGCCACACACACACACACTCATGGATATGCGTACTGATTTGATAGCGGTGCCACACGCCGGCCTAGGGTTCCATTTCCTAAGAGTATAAGTACGAATCCCTGGGGCCTGGAGGTCGTCAAAAGGAACGGTGGCCAAAGGCTCAAGACGAGGTCGGTCCGACAGGGTGACGGCGTTCCGTGCGTGACTGCAGCTGCGCTAGCACTTTATCAAAAGTTCAAAAGTTCGAGGAAAGCAGGTACGTCTGGCTGATCAGGCCAGATATCCGCATGTGCTGTGGCCGCTTCGTTGGACCATCGCTCACAACACATGGATGGTCCCCCTGCAATGAAAAAAATTAAGCAAATCCAGAAGGATCCCTATGACTCCAAGGGTTACACACACACGCCTCCCCGAAGGGAGGCATGTGTGACCTCCATCCTGCCTGGAAAGGAGGTAGGCGCATGTGCACGCAAAAAGGACAGATGAAAATGAGAAGGACAAGACAGACAAAGGTGTGTGTGGTTGCCGATGAAAAGGAACCAAGTGAAGAGGGACAACCGATGAGCCAAACCTCATTGTAACGAACCTGGGCCACCTGAACCTTGCTGTAAGTAAAGTACGCGTGCGTGTATGTGTACAAACTAAGGCCCGGACGATAGTGCGCGCAAGAGAAAGAAAGGATGAGAATGAAGAGACATGAAGACAGAAAGACATGAAAGAAAAGAGGAAAAAACCGTCAGTGGGGGCCGATGAAAGGGGAACCAAATGAACGGGGACAAACCGATGACAAACCAAACCTCATTAGAAAAACCTGTTGCAGAAGCCTAGTTTGCTTGTAAACACGCCGCGCGCGAGGAAAGAGGGGGCAGGGGGAGGAAGAAAAGAGAGGGAAAGAAAGAAGGAGACAAAGGTGCTCCCTGCTAGCTTCTTGGCACGCTCTCCACATCTAGGGTCGCTCCATCCACCTTTACCTTTTTTGTTTCCCTCACTTAACAAAACACATCATTGCACGCCAAGCGCTCCAGGACCAGTGTTTGGGGCATACTAACTTACGGGTTTTGGCTTTTCCATGGGTCATTGTTTGGAGACTGTTGTAACATGTGACCAATGAGAAACGGCTTGCCCCATTTCCAATGCAACCCTGATATATATATATTTTATATTATTTGTATACTAAGATAATATATGCACTTATACAAGCCTTCCTTTGTCCATCACCATTTTTGTTCAGTGCTCACCCAACTCATGCACTTCTACTAGCGTCACTTTCTGCAGCGCAGCACATGTGGAACCCGACGGCCCCCAGGTGGGGCCAAGCATCGTCTGTCGCTGCCAAGAAGCGATTGTTGGGCGTCGACGAAGGCGGCTGGTGCGGTTGGTGGTTTTTTGAACAACTATTTTCTTGGCCCTCTTTGCGTGCATCACTAAAACGCAGGGTTGTTTGGTCGTTTTTTTGACTATTTATTTTTTACATTTTTTTACTATTTTTGTCCTTTGCTGTCCTTTATTTTTTTCGGTTCCTCCAACCAACCCTCTTTTTTGGTTCCTCCAACCCATCTAGCTGCACTAGCTCAAGGAATGCTAGTTTGATTCCATAAGAAACAGGCTGGTGTGGTGGCTCGTGGTTGGCTTATGAGAGACTTTCGTTTTTGACCCTGTCGACAACTTCGATGCAGCCGCTGTCGAAAAACTATGGAAGACGATGCCTCAATGATACGGGGACCTATTGGTACTGTGGTTGGTTTGTTGCCGTCAGGAACACATGGCACTTGTGATTTCACATGCTGGCGGCATGGCAAAAACCGGGCACACCACGGTTGTGAAATCGAACTGTTCGCGTTGTGTATCGAACACTTGGACACAGACCGTCGTCACGAACAGGGATGCGAATGGTCGAGTTGCCCCCTTGTACTGTACGGAAGCATCAAAACATGCCACGGAGCCACCTTGTGTCAATTCCTTGGAGGATGGCGGTGAACATGTTGATGGTGACTGACCGCACTCTGCCACATAGTGGCAAGTGATGCTAAACTTGGAATTGTGCATACAAACGCGCCCACATCTAAGCAAGCAAGGTCCTATATGGTTCATACGCAGGCGTTTGGTGTGTTTCTGTTTTGTTTCGTGTCCTTGGGGCCTGTTTGGAAGACATCCCCCTCCAAAGTGGGGACCAGCTTGCGATTCGGAAGATGTTCAGCCGATACATGGTGAGTTTGTGTGCAATGACCTTTTAACAGAAAAGAAAAAAACAGGGGTTCCTTCTCCAAAGAATCCGTGACCGCAGAATTCAGATGGGCCCAGAATCCGGGAAGTCACCCACCCATCTGCGGTGTCGCGGTGTCGCATGAGGATCCTCCGACCTCCGACATCCTCCCAGTGCAGGATGGTTTTCCGCGGCGGCGAAGGAAGGGCAGCGAAGCCAGGCTGGGGAGGTTTGCCAAACTTCATTTTGGGCCCTCTTGGACTCACATTTGTTGGTTTGCGGACCTGCTCTAGGCTTCTTGCCCGTCCGCGATCTTCCATGAAGCGGCCCCTGAACAAACCAGTCTGGAGAAACAGGATTGATTTGAGTGGACGGTCTACTCTGACAGTGGCAGTTGGTAGAAATGCATCACTGTTTTGGCTAAAGGCACCGAATACTATCATCATTCAATGTTTCCAGGAATAGGCACAGCTCCGCTTGATGATGCTTGATGGTAATTTTTGAACAATCTAGGACCCGGACGTGCAAGGTCAAACACCAAGGGTTTGGGTTCCTTGCATTGTTGAACAGCTACTCCCCAAGCCATGATGAGCGGTGCATCGTCAGCAAATTCTTTTTGATCATTCTTGGCGTTCGAAGGTGGGCTCTCATGGAATTTTGGACACGTACCCTTGCCAGAAGTTCCCCTCAGGTGTCCATTTCCCTTTGACGAATTGGACCACATCAAAACGAAACAACTACAACGTTAATACTGAGTCAGTCCAACTGTAAGTGTTTGTGCACATTTGTCATTTGTGATCAATTTCATTGGCCCCAGCCACGTATTTTGATACTGTTTTGGGCTGCCTGTATTGAATTGTATGAGATTCCGTTTCTTGCGCGCTGAACAAGAAGCGCAGTTCGGTTTGGATGTTCCGACTAAGTTCCCCTCCAAAGGCCCTTTTACGGCTCCAAGACGCACCTCTTCGTTGCCAGGAGGCCACAGCCAGCTGAGGAAGATGAGTATGGGGAACTCCACGGCTCCACAGGAACTCAGCCGTGCAAAGCAAGCTCCTCACCATCAGCTGCTACATGTGCAGGGTGCAAAGCAAGGTATTTGTTCTTTAGGCCCAGCTATTTGAAGCGGAAGAATTCCACAATTGCTCCTTTGCCATGTCGTGATTGGAGATGGTGGAACCGGAACTCGGTGGAGCAGTCTTACAAGGCCCAGATGGGGTTCCAATATGTTCTGACGCCGACGAAAAACAACAAACACAAACTCAGAAGGTATTTCGAAGTGCCACAGCTGTGGTTTCGTTGCTTATATATATTTATTTATTTTTTTTTTTGCAAAAAAGGACAAGTCAATTTTTTCCCCACCCGTAGGACTGTGGGGTTGTTAGATTTTTAGAACTTTGGACTTCAGCACGCCCGGTAGCCCAACTTAGCTCTTCCACAACACACTGGCCAAAGTGGTCCCTGAGTAGCGCAACTTAGCTCTTCCATAGCACATTGGCCAAAGTGGCACAGCACACTCACCAAAGTGGTCCCTGAGTAGCCCAAAGTAGCTCTTCCACAGCACGCTGGCCAAAGTGGTCCCTGAGTAGCCCAACTTAGCTCTTCCATAGCACACTCACCAAAGTGATCCCTGAGTAGCCCAACTTAGATCTTCCATAGCACACTGGCCAAAAAGGTCCCTGACTAGCGCAACTTAGCTTTTCCACAGCACACTGGCCAAAGTGGTCCCTGAGTAGCGCAACTTAGCTCTTCCACAGCATACTGGCCAAAGTGGTCCCTGAATAGCCCAACTTAGATCTTCCACAGCACACTGGCCAAAGTGGTCCCTAAGTAGCGCAACTTAGCTCTTCCACAGCACACTGGCCAAAGAGGTCCCTGACTAGCGCAACTTAGCTGTTCCACAGCGCACTGGCCAAAGTGGTCCCTGAGTAGCGCAACTTAGCTCTTCCACAGCACACTGGCCAAAGTGGTCTCTGAGTAGCGCAACTTAGTTCTTCCACAGCACACTCACCAAAGTGGTCCCTGTTCACCAAAGTAATCCCTGAGTAGTTCAACGTAGCTCTTTGACAGCACACTCACAAAAGTAATCTCTGACTAGTTCAACTTAACTCTTCCACAGCACGCTCGCCAAAGTGATCCTTGTTCACCAAAGTAATCCCTGAGTAGTTCAACGTAGCACTTCCACAGCACATTCACCAAAATGACCTCTAAGCATTGACACCACATTCACCAATCTGATCCCTGAGTAGCTAAACCTAGCTTTTCCACAGCAAATTCACAAACCGATTTCTAAGTAGCTCATCTTAGCTCTTCCACAGCAACCACAGTTCTTAGTAGCGCAACTTAGCTTCTCCACAGCACATTTACCAAAGTGATTCCAAGGTAGTTGTAGAGTTGCAATGTGCTTATCAAGCCAACAAAGGCTGCGTTTTTCTCACCCGTAGGCCTGTCGGTTGTTAGGTTTTTAGAACTTCGGACTTCAGTACGCCCGGTCGCCCAACTTAGCTCTTCTATAGCACACTCACGAAGTGGTCTCTGAGTAGCCCAACTTAGCTTTTCCACAGCGCACTCACCAAAGTGGTCCCTGAGTAGCTTAGCCTTTCCACAGCACACTCACCAAAGTAGTCCGCGAGTAGCCCAACTTAGATCTTCCACAGCACGTTGACCAAAGTAATCCTTGAGAAGCCCAAAGTAGCTTTTCCACAGCACGTTCACCAAAGGAATCCCTGACTAGCCCAACTTAGCTCTTCCACACCACACTCGCCAAAGTAATCCCTGAGTAGCCCAACTTAGATCTTCCACAGCGCGTTGACCAAAGTAATCCTTGAGAAGCCCAAAGTAGCTTTTTCACAGCACGTTCACCAAAGGAATCCCTGACTAGCCCAACTTAGCTCTTCCACACCACACTCGCCAAAGTAATCCCTGAGTAGCCCAAAGCAGTTCTTCCATAGCACACTCACCAAAGTGATCCCTGAGTAGTTCAACGCAGCACTTCCACAGCATGTTCACCAAAGAGATCCCGGAGTAGCCCAAAGTAGCTCTTCCACAGCACGTTCCCCAGAGTGATCCCTGAGTTTTCAAGCTAGCTTTTCCACAGCACGTTCACCAAGGTGATCTCTGCGTAGCCCAAAGTGGCTCTTTCACAGCACGCTCGCCAAACTGATCCCTGTTCACCAAAGTAATCCCTGAGTAATTCAACGTAGCACTTCCACAGCACATTCACCAAAATGACCTCTGAGTATTCACACCACATTCACCAATCTGATCCCTGAGTAGCTAAACCTAGCTGCCTAGCTCTTCCACAGCACATTCACAAGCTGATTTCTAAGTAGTTCAACTTAGCTTGTCCACAGCAACCACAGTTTTTAGTAGCGCAACTTAGCTTCTCCACAGCACATTTACCAAAGAGATCGCAGGATAGTTGTAGACTTGTAATGTACTTATCAAAGCAGTTTTTTTCCCCACCCGTAGGACTGTGGGGCTGTTAGATTTTAAGAACTTTGGACTTCAGTAGACTCGCTACTTCTGCACATCCGCCAGAGTGGTCCCAGCGTAGCTCAGAGCAACCCAAAGAACACAGCACATCCACCAGAGTGGCCCACAGTGGCCCAGAGTAGCCCTTACACAGCACATCCACCAGAGTGGCCCCGAGTAGCCCAGCGTAGCCTTTACACCAGCACATTCACCAGAGTGCTCCCAAGTACCAGTTCCACAGCATATCCACCACAAGTTGACTTGGCAGGGATGCGGGGTTGCCAGGCATTAAAATATCGAAGTTCAGAAACCTCACAAGTAAGTATTCGATGTGTGGTTTTGTTTTCAATAAAGAATCCTTTTCGCGCCGAACCGCTTTTCTCTTGTGAAGACCAATTCTTTGAGGGTGGGGAATTTCGAAGTAAAGTAATTTTGAGCTTGATGACCCCAACATCAGGAAAGGTTTGGATCAACATCCGAAGAAAGAAACTCAGTTCTTGCCGTCAAATCGCTGGGTCTGAAAGTTAATCAATCGCACACTTTTTTGAACCTCGTGTAGACTGGACCCTCTATGTTTCCATTTGTTTCCTTTCACGGAAACTCCGAACCACTTGCTACATATAATGTATACAATGGTTTTTCGTGCATAAGCCCTGTTTTTTTGCAACTCCTTGGGTGAGGGATTGATTGTAGAACGCCTATGATGCATGGCATTGATAGTTTTCGCACCAATTCAATCACCAATAATGGATCTTGGTTTTCAGGTCCTAGGTGAACATCCCCTCCGCGTCCAGCGAGCGCGCCTGCGCGGCCTGCGCTTGCACGTTAATGAATGCGCTCCGAATGGATGCGCCAGCAGACCGCTCCGCCGGCAGACATCCGCTCCTTCGCTTCAAAGGGGGGGTGAGCGAGTGATTTTTCTTGGGAAGACAGGGGAGTCTCAGGGGAGCGCAACCGTGACAATCCTCACAGCGCAGTTTGCTTCGTCATTTGACAGCATTTTGGTGGTTCTTGATTGATCAGTTGAAAGTAAAATGGTGGTTCTTGAAGATCATCGAAGGCGATTGAATGGCTGGCGTCCCGACTTTAGCACTTTTAGCATGTCAGGTCAGGTGGCTGAGGCTGGGGGTAGTCCAACATTCTGGCGAATGCTTTAGATTTAGATTTGCTTTTTGTATCTCTTTGTTGCAATCATTGCCAGGTCATCCAAAAGCTGCAACATTTGAGAAAGAGTGGATGATTCCTCATCATGTCGAGTGTTAAATGCAGATTTAGTCTTCAAGACAGACATAAGGAATCCTTTTTCTGAAGTGGACTCCTTTCTGAGGCACACTGCACACCTCAAAACGGATGGCACGCTTCGTGAAAAGGTATGGCAACCACCGCCACCTAGCAGCTTTCCACTTGGCTGTCCCAACTCCATGCTCAAAAAAAGAAATCAGATCTCAACGGGTCCATTCCAAATGGCCATCCTGACCAATTAGCCATCATTCCTCATGACCAATTGCTGTTTCTCGACCCGCTGACACCATCATTTCCTCGGACCTTTGGCTCTCGCCCTCGAGCGACCGGGCCATCGCCCGGCGCGGTGCGGGAGGCGTGTGGGCGGTTCGGGAGCCGGGTGGTGGGACCGGGTGCCGCACCAGGAGATCGGCCCAGGATGTACATGACCAAGAATCGTAGGGAGATCTGTCATATTCGGTGTGGGGACAGGCAATTGTTGATGGACTTAATCCATCAGAAGCCTAATTGCTCTTTAACCAAGGCAAAGCCATTATTCTGGTTTGGTTGAGTAGTGCAGGATTGTCCATCAATAGTCAATATGTATTGAATTTTAAGAATGAGTAGGACAATACAAGATCGAAGCGATCGTGTAACTTGTAGTTATCCGGTTAAGGTGTATGGTTGTGTCTGAATAACCAGTAAAAACTGTCAAACTTAGTCCTTGACAACGAGATGCAGTGTTTGAGTCATAGACTTGCAGAGTATGGTAGAAGAACCTCACCATGAAACCAAGAGTACTACTGTACATCCTTTTGAACCTCTATCTCCTGCAGTGTGAACAAAACAAAAATTCGGAGCCCGCAGGAATACAGACAGTGTCAAAAAGTTCAAGGAAGGAACAGGATCATCACCTGGCGCTGACGCTCCGCCCCCTCGCGCAGGGGGACGCGATGCTGGACTGGCTGGAAGAGATGTTGGCAGCGCCCTGCTGGGCCGGGCCCTGCTTCAACTGCCAAGCAGGCAGGGAAATGCGGAGGGCGAAACGGTAGAGAGCGAGGCCATGTCAAGCAGAAAATGATCCGGTTCGCAGACAGAAACAAGTTTGAGGCAACGGCTTTTAAAACGAGACCTCAGGGGCTTTTGCATTCTCTTGCAGAAGTTGGGTGCCAGCCAGTACGTTTGTCTCATGGAGCATCTTCCACTAAGGGAACATCAGGTGTCTTGCAAGGGATATTACTACAAGTTCGATCTGTTTTCATAGTGTCAAGGTGCATGGTCCCATCTCATCAGGAACATATCTATACATATCTGTAGTATAATACAACTACTGTATGTGAAACATCATCCACATGTGTCATATGGAGTATCAGGGACATAGGATTCTTCTCAGGGTCCAAGAGTGTTGCCTCATGATTCCTTCTTGACCCATCTTGTTCCATTCAGATCGGTAGTTTTGAGGATGTCAGCCACCCTATAGCTTTAACTTTAACCAATATTTGAGATTGGTTAACACCTATTGGGGCATACTTCGCGGGATGAACATCTACGTGGGCTTTTGGGAGGGCACCAATGAAAGACATGTTCAACCCTGCGTGTCCTTTCAGAATCATTCATCCAATCACCGGGTACCCGCACAGA